TTCTATGTTTTCTATGTTTTCTATGTTTTCTATGTTTTCTATGTTTTCTATGTTTTCTATGTTTTCTATGTTTTCTATGTTTTCTATGTTTTCTATCCAGTACAGGATGTGTTATCGAATTGGTTTAATGTTTAATACTAACACCGTCGTTGCATAGCGTACAAGAAGCAGAAGGACCTTCTCTCTTCTACAGGCCATTTCTCCCTGCTGAAGGCTTTGCACATGGCCGACTACATCACTGAGCTGAATGGTATTTCCCCCCCTTTTAACAAAATCAAATGATATTATATACTAGGAGAGAGAGAATCGTTACTAACGAGCGTCATTATTTCCACTATACAGGCGCTTGCGGTATCCTATCCGTCTTCTCTTCCCTGCGATACTGCCTCGGCGACCCCACGGACAAGACGAATGTATACCTCGCGCTTGCGTTCCTGCCTCTTGGGCTATTTTTCGATTTCATGGATGGTCGAGTTGCAAGGTGGCGGAAGAAGAGTAGTATGATGGGTCAGGAGTTGGATTCGTTGGCAGATTTGGTAGGTTTGCTCCATGCTGCTCTCTCGTTATACCCATATCTTGTCTACCCCGCCACTTCATAGAGACATCTTAGTCTACTTCACCTACTACGGCATTTTCTCTAGCCTGTAGAAAAATAGTAGTGTCCGATCTCGTTCATACTAACTTCGGTTCTTACAGATCTCCTTCGGTCTCGCCCCAGCCTGCGTAGCATTCAGCATCGGTCTGCGTACAACACTCGACCAGGTGTTCTTGGCTACATTCGTATTATGTGGTTTAACGCGACTAGCACGCTTCAACGTCACAGCGAACAGCGGCGATATCCCCAAGGATGCAAACGGAAAGGCCAGCTACTTCGAGGGCACGCCTATTCCTACGACGCTAGGTATCGACGCTCTGATGGCGTGGTGGGTGAGCAAGGATTGGGTTCTTGATCAGGTCCCCGGCGGCACGCTATTCGCAGGCACTAACTTCGAAGTCCACCCCATTGTCGCCATGTTCCTGATCCACGGGTGCCTGATGTGCAGTAAGACTCTACACGTACCTAAGCCCTAACAACCGTCCATCACTCATCTCTCCCTCTGTACCTTGTATTAGCAGGTAGACAGCAAGGGTAAATTCATGTGGTTAGATTTCTTTTTTTCCGGTTCGGCTCGGAGCGTCGGGGGAGGATAGATATCTTAGGCACTCTACTACTTATTTGTTAATGGGATGGGGTGTTTTGCCATGAGGCTAGCGAAAAGAGTGGAAAAGGAAACATAAATAGCGCACCACGAAGAAGAGCAAAGCGGAGAGGGAGAGACAGGAGATATCACGCATATATTACGCATAGGTAGACGAGCATACGTATAGAAACAATGACGGTAAACAGAACCTAACAGACGAGTGCGTTGATTTTATGCTGACCGGTGTATCTTGACGGTGTGATTACTTTGCTGGCTTGGTACTTTCCAGATATATTGAGCTGCGGCTTGCTCTAAACGGGTATATTCTTTGGCCAGGGGGGGGTAGGTAAGATAGGTTGAAGAGATTATGTGCTCAAGTCGCGTAGAGAGTAAAGCAGATAAGGGAGGTAGTTATTTATGTTGGATGGTAAAACTACGAATACCTACCTACCTAACTTATATAAGTCGTGCCATCTACCCCTTTTTTACTCATACACGCTTTTGCCCGGAGGCAGACTAACCTTAGGTACCTAGTCTTATGGGTTGGCAAGTAGGGCGCGTGAATAAATATCACGTCGGTGCTTGACGGTATGTAGTAGGAACACAGTTTACATCTCTTATATTTAGGTAGTTAGTGAAATGGTATTATTTATCGTCTTTTTTTTTTTCCACCGAAGCTACACATATGTCTTGACCCTACAACAGAAGTCGCTGCGAATTTATGACGAGACGAGTGTCTCCGAATTAAGATTCCTATTTTCCATGATACATCCCTACCTTCCCTGTATCCGGTATGTAATGGTCATAATGCTGGCGTTCAAAGTCGTAGTATCATCGGGCCAGTAATATCAGAACGAACCGAGCTTCATATAACTCCCCTTCTCCATATTAGCAACAATCTGTTGCGTATCAAATCCTATCTAACCATTACGATCCCACATCCTGGATCAGCCCCCTTAGCACACCCTTCTCAGCAAGAGCTCGCACCCAATGGTGTATCGCGGGCGTGTAATCGCGCTGCCGACCACGTATTATATCCACAGCCTCATCTATCGTCGCCAGCTCAGCAACGTACTGGGCGTCGAGCGAATCCTGCTCCGTTTTTAGTTCTTTCGCTAGCTCCAGTGCTTCGTCCGAGTTGAAGTCCGGGTGACTCGTCCTGGTCCTGTATAGATCCGGAAGCTCTTGGGATACGATATCTTCATGTGTCAGATTTCGCTGGGCGAGATGAGAGGCGGGGAAAGCTTTGAAGGGGTCTGGGGCGGTCCAGTTGGTATTTCCGCTATAGAGCTCATGTAAGGCGTAGGAGCAGGCTAGGCTGATAGCAAATTCCTTGGCTAGAGTCTGGAGAGGAGACTGGCAGATGGCTAGGAGGCTAAATTCTGGGATTTCCGAGTTGCGCGTCATGCGCTCTTTAATCGCTGTGCTTGCTGTGTCGATCCATGAATCCGATATAGGGCCTATAGTTATCATTAGTTAGCAGAAAGTTGAGATGCTTTATTTTTAAAAGTAGGACATACCAAGACATAATGGCATCGTTTCAAAGCCATCAAGTTCCCAAACCTGGCCGTTCACGGGCACGTAGGCGATATAGTGATAGTTTGTCTCGACGAGCCCTTTGCGTGGGGCACGGGCAGACTTCTTTTGCGTTCTTCTTTTTTTCACCGTCACCGACTCCTCATACTTGTTGTCAAGACATAGATCCTCAGAGAGGAGATCGATCCGCCTGTTGGTCTAGGTTAGATAAAGCTTAAGCAAAGAAGACATATAATAGCCGTACCTTGCAACGGAATTATGGACGCTGCGGATGAAGTCATTCTTGTCGAGGGAGCTGCCTCGATGAGGAGGGGGTAGTTCTTTTGTTGACTCTCTAAAACTCTGGAGTTCCATACCGAGGGTGACGTCTTGGGCATTCATTATGATGTTCATGAGCGCTACGGTAGCGCAAGCATTTGCTGTTGTCTATAAGTCTGTTAGTTGGCATGTAGCCCAAAGGCTTAAGGAGAAATACATACCTGGTTGGTAAACCAGAGATAACCAGGACACTCCTGGCGGTTCGCCTTGTTGCTTGGCTCATCAGATCCATCGTATTGGAATAAGAAAATGAGGCCATGAACAGGTTTGCTGCTTTACGTTAGCATTGCCATCTCGAGGATATGGGATGCCAATCTTACGGCAGGAATTCTAGGATGTCTGGATCCAGACTGTACACTTCTTGAACCTTGAAGTCCTTAGCTCCAAGCTCTTGCAGAATGGCATTGAAGAATCCCTAGATAGATAGGTCAGCTAAAGTAGGAACGAGCCTATGGCTACACAACTTACAGGCTCAGATTCAAGTTCCACCCAACCACCATACTCTTTGCGCTCATCCTGGGACATTCGGTTTAGAGCTGCTTCCAGGAGTGGACCAGGATCTTCGGGAATGATATTGTCTTTTGCAATCTGAGCTGCCTTACGCTTTGGGCGGGTTGACGGTATGGCAGGTTGCATAGGTGCTTTATAGGCTGGACTGACATACTCCTCATCGTACTTGGCAGGTGCCTTTGTCGCTCTACCTGAGCGACGCGTGCCGTTATTAGGTGTGTCGGTATTCTTTGCTTCGTTGTTATGCAGGCTGTCTGGAGACACGGGAGGTGTCCCAACTTGCTCGGGTTCCGCCATCTATTCAGTGAAATAATCTGACCTGGGCTTTGTTTTGTATGAAGTAGTGTTATGTAACACGAGAGGGAAGATGGTAGATGGCGCTGCGATGCGATGCAGTAATAGTGTAACGGGAAGACTGGATAAGACAAGCCGTCAAAGAATGTCTTATAGGAATTGGGTATGGGTTTTAGGAATTTTCTCAAACGAAATAAATGTCGGGAATTTTATTCTTGAACGGATAAGATTAGGAGGTAGACATTTGTGGTGAGGAAAGTGTAAAACGTGGATATTAATTGGCAACAAGGCGTAGTAGCGCGATGTAGATGTAGATGTAGACGTAAATGTAGACGTCGCAGACGTTGTGGACGATAATTTAAGCCCCGTTCACTAAATAAAACAATATAGGAAACGGCAACCGCAAAACCATTTATTTATCTATGCAGGCCTGTACTGATCTATCAGCAAGATATATATATAAGATATATATATTTAAGGTATGTATATATTTCCTGGTTAAAAAAACTAACATTGACTTACATACGCTGGCTCCGAGGATGGTTGAGGCTCAAGTAAGGCTATAAGAACAGTATGGGTTTCTATCAGGTATTATGTTCCTCATTCTGCTGTATTTTTATATCAGCTGTAAGCTATGTCAACTTGGGTATCTTTTGCATAAATGACTCAGGGGTTTTAAAGGTCGGGAAACACAAAGGCAGCGGTTTGATATACATACCTCTACGAACACATGCTTGATACGTGGCACGCCCTGCGTCTTTCCTTTCTGTTTCTTTTTAATTCATTTACAGCATAAGCTCTGCTCGTATTCCCCGTACAGATTAATGGGTTTAGTCACTGCTTTCTTTGTATTTGTTGAGGTTGGCTCGGCTAGGAGAGGCTGAGATATGGTTGAGCTGTGTGGATGGGACCTGTGATGTGATCAAACTGAGGGGACGAAGCTGATGTAACGGAATAATTTCCGACTACTTTTTATTACATGTATCTTGAACAGTTTAATATTATCAATCGATTGTACTTTTACTGTTGGAATATGCCAGGACCAAAAGAACCCGGTGAATGATGTTCATAGCAGCTTTTTGATTCCATGTGTAATTGATTGTTTATGTGTACATGTATGTAGCATTGAAGTAATACTGAGGGTAGATTGGTACAATACATTGAAGTAGATTAATTGCATGTAGGTAGGTACCTGTAGCTATAGCTTATGATGTAGGTACCTACCTAAGCTACCCGCTCCTTACCAATGGTATTTTACCCGCTTTTAATAGCTAGTGCATGTACCTACCTACCTACCTATGAAGCTCTAAAACGTCTAAACTTTTCCGCCTGTATTGTATGGATAACTTTACTTGGATGTCCCACTTGCCCCACGCTATAATAGTGCTACACTATAACAGCTACCTTCAATTGATAAAAGGTCATAGCTCTTGATAAGACACAAAGGAGCTACCGAGAAATGCTAACGGTTGGCAAGCAGCTGCGTGTGACAGCCAAAGCCTTGGCACCATACAGAAATTTAGAAATTTCGAATTTCTGAACGCGCCCGCGTCGTGATGTTGCTTGCTTGTATTTATTGCCAGATCAACCCTAAAATTTCCGCCCACTCCCGCCCACTCGCCCACTCGCCCACTCGCCCATTCGCCTATTCGACGAGCTCAACAAGGTATTTACATACCTCCCTTCCTTTGCGCTGGCTCGACAACATAGACAAGGTCAGATCAAAAATATATTAGGCTTGATTAAACACCTTGACTGGTCGAATTCAAGTTGATATATCTTGACTCTTGACTCTTGACACTTAATCTATCGATCAACCAATTTTTACCAACTTTACCAACTTAGTCGATATTTTCTTCCGCTCCTGATGGTTCGTCACCATCCCGGAATGCAATGAATCCTGGGACGCCGCGCGTGGGCGCTGGAGGTTTCCCTCAAACACCAGCTGCTAGAGCTCAAAGACCACGTCAGGCACAAGATGCTAAACCTCGAACTTCTTTACCAACCGCTCCCGAAAACCAACCCGCTTCCTCTCCGAGTAGTCAGCCGGTAATCCCTACTACCATTATCGACGCACCGACCCAGCGGTTCTACGCCTTCGCCATCTACGTAGCCCTTCTAGGATGGCGCTTCTACGACTGGATACAGATATTAGAGGATAATGGCGGCTCGTTCTACTTTTTCTGCAAATGGGTCATCTTTGACTTTATTTTCTTCTTCTCTTTACCTTCTATGCGCATACCTTGGTTGGAGCTGGCCGCACCGACAGTTTCTATGATTTTCTTTGGCCATCTAATATTTAACTGGCTTCTAATGTTTAACATTCCCGTGCCTTGGCATTCCTGGCTTCTCGGCCTGGTTAAGGTCTTCTATGACAAGGAACTTGCCATCTCCGAGCACAATGTTAAAGTCTCGAGCATTCTGCATAACTCCTCTCTTATCATGGGAAAGCAGATCATTAATATCCTTCCTGAAGGGTAAGTCTTGGTAACCGTGCTACGTACGTATAGTAGACCGTTTCTAACTTATTATGATAGCTCTGCCCTTCTTAATCCTGAAAAGAATCCTTACTGTCTCGGCCAAGGCCAGAATGTAGCGACTGTACCCATCTACTTCAACGCTACAGTTCCCGTCGAGGTCGAACTTCTTCGTTTCGATCTAGAATCAGATTCTCAGGAGGTATTAAAACTCAGCCGCAAAGAGATAAGGGAAATCAGCAAACAGTCGGCGAAATCTATCGAAGATGGAGCACTGGGGATTTACAGATACGACATTGCTATAAAGAAGCCAGGTGTTTATCAGCTAAACAAGGTCCTCGATGAGTACAAGCTTGAGGTTCAGAGACTTACTGAGCCTACATACATTGTTCCTTGTCCGAGAGCCCGGGTTCGTACGGCGCAGTCGGCAACGAAGTGTATCGGTGATCTATCCAACTTATCTCTGGATGTTTATGGCACGCCGCCCTTAAAGATCGTCTATAGCCGCACCATCAATGGAAAAGATCACAGTTTCCATTTTCAAAGTCTTCAGCCCGACGGGTTCGTATCCCCCCTGCTTACTCAGAGATCGACTATAATGCCCTTGGGAGAAGAGGACTATACCTGGGCCAGGTTACAGACTGTCGAGGTAGGCCTGAACGAGTCGATGAATTCTGCAGGGGAGTGGCAGTACTCCATCGACGAAGTTCACGACGTCTTTGGCAATGTCATCCAGTATCCTCAACCTGAGGATCCCGACGCGAAGCCTAAACCTAAGCACCTGTTTCAGAATTTTGTTGTGCGAGAACGCCCTAGAGCTACTATCAAGGGCTGTGACACTAGTAATCCTCTCAAGGTTGCCAAGGGAAAGACGACGAAGCTTCCTGTCAAGATTGGGCGCCCAGGTCAAACTCCGGATAGTGTTTCTCACACTCTGACCTGGAATTTCTCGCCAATCAACACGCTCACTAAGAGTGGTGACCATGGCGACGTTGTTGAGGTAGGTACTTTTACCGCCAAGAGTGTGGACGATCAACCCAAGATCAGTGCGCCGGGTTTGTATACTCTGAAATCCGTTTCCTGTGACTCCTGCGAAGGAGAGATTGAGGAGCCCTCATCTTGCTTACTGCTCAACCCTCTCGAACCTACATTGTCCATACAGGCCGAGGAGATTCCAGACAAGTGTGCCGGTAACTCCATTGGACTTCGGGTGAATCTAGATATGATCGGAACTCCTCCCTTTAGAGTTGCATATACCGTGACCAGCGATTCTGGTCAGAATAGGAGGGAGACGGTTGAGATCAGAGGCCTCAGACAACAGATCGACCTTCTACCTAGGAACGCCGGGCGCTACCAGTATCGCTTTAGGAGAATCGAAGATGCTATTTACACCGTTCCCCTACCTTTGTCGGATGAATATTATTTGGAGCAGAATGTTAAGCCGCCCGCGACAGCGTATTTCAAGTCGGAACGCCGTAGCATCAATGCTTGTCTGGATCAGCCAGTCAAACTGGACGTGGCTCTTCTCGGAGACGGTCCTTTCACGCTCGAGTGGGAGCTCGTACACGAAGGTAAAAGAAAGTCCGAGAAGGCGATTGGCATTGAGAGCGACACCTTCACTATCGAAACAGCTCCGTTATCGACCGGTGGCGAGTACACCTTGGCTCTGAAGAGCATCCGAGATAAGACAGGATGCCGCATATTCCTCAAGGAAGAGGCCAAGATCTCTGTGCGACGCCAGCGACCGCGGGCAGCATTTGGTGTTCTGGATGGTAAGAGGACAACTACGGTTGTTGAAGCCGCTGCGGCCCGTCTTCCTTTGAAGTTGTCCGGTGATGGGCCATGGATAGTGAGCTATCGCAACCTTAACAGTACTTCTGAGGAACCAGGGGTTCGCATTGCCAAGACTGGCAACGACTTCATTGAAGCCAAGGAACGGGGCATCTACGAGATTATTGATGTAAGGGATCATGGATGTAGTGGTATCATCAATCCCCAAGCCAGTAGTTTTGAAGTTAAGTGGTATCCGCGTCCCGAGCTGTCGTTTTCGCCCAGCGAATCGATTCAGCCCGCAGATAAGGAAAACAAATTCATCAAAAGAGATGTCTGCGAGGGCGACGTGGATGGATTTGAAGTTTCACTTAAAGGTAAGCTACTTTTATGTCTCTACGACACTTGAATTATGCTAACATGAATCTTAGGCTCGCCTCCGTACCACGTGGAGTATGAAATCAAACATAAGCCGAGGGCAGGCTCGGGTTCGGTGGCCCGAAAAGAGTTTGACGCTGCTCTCGGGAAAGCATCCATCGCCCTAGACACAGCCAAGGCCGGATTATACACTTACACGTTTTCTGGCCTGTCGGACAATCTCTACAACGACAAGCAAAAATCCGAGCCTCTCACACTGGAACAGACGATCAACCCGAAGCCGTTCGCTTCCTTTGTCAAACCTGGTCAAACGTTCAAGATGTGCATGTCTGATTACAGCCCGCAAGAATCGATTCCTATCAGGCTAGAGGGCAAAGCACCGTTCTACGTCGAAGTCGAAATTAAACAGCATTCTGGAAATCTACCGGAGATATTTAGGATCCCTAACATCCAAACCAACAATTACGCCATCCAGATCCCTAGGCAGTACCTAAAGCTTGGTGGTCAGCAGATCAGAATCCGCAAGGTACGCGATGCCCGTGGTTGCCAGCAGAAGACGGAAGGCGGTGGTGGAGTGGTTCATATTCAGCTTTATGAAGCGCCGTCTATCTACCCTCTCGAGCAGCGATCCGATTATTGCGTCGGTGAGCGCATCGCCTACACGCTTTCGGGCACACCTCCTTTTGAAGTACACTATGAATTTTCCGGCAAACAGATGAAGGCCAAATCCCAAACCACCAGTTTCCGTCGTATTGCCGAATCGCCTGGCGACTTCACGATCAATAGTATTAGCGATAAGGGAAGTGAGTGCCGGGCAGCCGTTAATATAACCAAGACTATTCACCCCATGCCAAGCGTCAGGATTAGTAAGGGGCGTGTCATCCAAGTCGATATCCACGAAGGAAGCGAGGTTGAGATCTTGTTCGAATTCTGGGGTACGCCACCTTTCGAGTTCACATATACTCGTAGTACCAACGCTCGGAAGGGACAGAAGAGCCAGATATTAGAGACGCGACATGATATCAGCTACGAGCATAGCAAAGTGATTACGGCAAACTTGGAGGGCACGTACGAGGTGGTAGCTATAAAGGATCAGCACTGTGCCTTTTCGACACTGGGCGTCGAGGGTAGGGACAAGGGCCAGAAGTCGCTGAAATACTGAAACGCTGCCTTACTTATCGGATTGGCGGAGGAGGTTTGGACGTTGGACGTTGGACGTTGGACATGGACATGCGGAACGAACAGGCCGCATATGAAGGGGATGTGGAAATAGTGTAGAGCAACGGGGAGTAACAGCTATGTGCGGCTGTTGGGGCATTGCATGAGCATGGCGTTCCGGTAGGATGACAGCTTTTGCTGGCAGGATTGCCATGGCAGTCCAATATAAAATGTGATTCTATTGTAAACCCATGAGCAGGACATGAGATTGTTGTTATGTTATGTGTGTATGACTGTAAGGTTGGATACTTTTAGGTTAGGATGGGCATGATGTGATGCTAGAGGGTGAACTGGATATGTTCTGAGATGGATAAATCCAAGAACGATTCTTTGTGCCTTATGTAGTCGTACAGTTCGAGATATTGGAATTCAAGCGGCTGACAAGTGATGAGCAAGTGGCCTATGTACCCAGTCTACCTCATTAGGCGGGTAGGTTAGGTATATAGGTTCTGACAACTCGTTACTCAACCACATACGACCATAGGATCTGGAAAGCTCGGGATCCCGTCCGCTCTCCCCTTCGATAAACCGGATACCGCCGGACTAGTAGTTGGGTCGGTGACGACCAGCGAATCCCCGGTGTTGTATGTTTTTTGGTGTTTTTTTTTTCTTTTTCTTTTCACCTTTTCCTTTTGGTCGTCCGTCTCTTGTTTAGCTTATAGTTACCTAGTCTGTGTGTCGGGTGCCCCGATGTCTAGCTACTCCGTTAGTCCGGGTAGCTCCGTATAGCTGACGGGTAAGTTCGGTGGCTGTTCGGGAGTTGAGCTCGGTAGACAAGATAGGAGTGGCTACGGGGTATTGTCTCTTAGTATTGCGCTATATGCCGTTGGCTAGGAGGATATTCCGAGATGGGGGTGTTTCTTTTCAGTCTAAGATGTCGTGGTTTATGAAGCTTGTTTGTGGTCTCTGACTAGAGATGGTCTAATGGTCTAAGTTATGGGTGTGAGGCAAGAGAACATGGTCAAACACCAAGTTTCTTACTTGGTACATTAGGTATATAATAGGCAGGTATTCATCTTATCATTGAAGTTAATAGGACTTAAAGTTTATTCTAACCGACTAAATCATCTAGTACGCGTGGATGAGGTCAAAGCACTGATGCCTCTGGTCCCTGCTATAACGACGTAATCAGTCTTTCACATGAAGGGAACAAGGGTGAGGTTAGCTCGATGCCAAGGCTTCACCACAAGATGCCCCAAGTCCTCGGGTCTCATGGCCAAGGTTGCTATCGGTAGTGTATACATGTGTACTATCCGGCAGAAAGACTATTCCATAAGATCGGTTATAATCTATGCTCGCACCAGGCCGTACTGTTCCAATAGGATGTCTCCCGAGAGTCAGCGATCGAAATCTTCCTGGATGCTAGCCCTTCGGCTATACGATGTTAAGCAAGATGACTAGCCTAGGCCGCCTTATTATGGTACCTTAATAGCTAGTGTCGTTATTTTGGACCTTGAAGATCTGAACGATCTACGCAACGGCGCCCGTTGTGGATTTGTCTCCTTTCCCTTAGTGCTATCGTAACTAAACTACTGCTGCAGATACAAGATACATATAAGATACATATAAGAAAGGAGGCGTTTCTACATGGCTAAACTAATAAGCTAATGCTAAAATAACTAGTAATTATCAATACTTCCGAAGACCAGCGGTTAGCTTCTCGTTGAAATGAGGCGGGATCGGCGAACTCTCCACGCAGCTAGTTTTCGTTAGCCGGCTTTACATTCGTGAGGCTACCTCATCCTATGGTTAAGGCTGGCTCGAGTCTTGCGGGATGATTTTTATCCCTCTATCTAGTCGTTGTTAGCTTAGCTTTTTAGAGCTAACGGCTCAACATCCGGCGGCTTTATGGAAGTCCAACTTGTCAACTGACTCGATACATGTCGAGAGTCACGTCCAGACAGACAGCTATCAGAACCCGTTTAGTTAAGACTATAGACTATACGACATATATGTTTTCTTTAGCGTTCTAACTACCTATGCAGCATTTCGGGAAAATGGAATTCTCCAGATTCTCCGATAGTAACGCCTTAACTAATGAAGTGTCTGTATAGTGGATTTTGGCGAGACTAATGGCTTTACTATACCTCTCGAGGCTAGTCGTCCTGGTCGTCTCCCCTGTTCCCCTGCTTTGAATATCGTTACAAGCTTCTACTGGCTACCGACGTGTTTCCATTCTCCACTTGGCTCACCCTTGGCCCCTGGGGTTATTTATTAATCGCAACGGACTTCTGATATTCCTTTATGCTTGACTATCCTGTCGACCTCTTCTCCTTTTTCAACTCACCAATCCATCTATCCATCTATCCATCTGTTGGAACGACGCCGCGGTGAAGAATTAAAGACAATCGTATGACGAGGGGGGGGGGTACAGAAACAATCCGAGTTACCAATTGTAGCTTTCTCAGGGGGTTTCTCGACCAATCACGTTCTCAACCAGCCAGGGCTACCCCAGATCAGCGAATCCCGTCTGCCCTCGGCCGAGAGACTTCTATCTGAGCTACGCACAGCACGTACACACCTGAAACGGAGACGCCGGCAATAACCAGAACCCGGCTTCGCTGATACAAAACCCGCATACAAGACGTCCAAATATCCTTATATCACTGGCCTCTTTTGGTACGAAACACGCCATCACGTCAATGTGCTCGTAACAGCAGATATCTATTGTCTTTTGTCTTCGGAGTTGGTTACTGCGGTTGAAAAGCTGCAAGTTATGAGAATAACCTGGTAGTTGTTCGACGATCTGGAACCTCAATTCTACAATTCCCCGCTCACTGCCGACCTGGAACCTCTCATGGATCTTAATGCATCTGCCCTCTTTAAGTATCACACTCTTAAATGAGCGTCCGTTAGCAAGACACTATATTATTCGTTCGGTCTTAGAGCTTAGCGACTTAGGTATCGTACTTCGGTTAACCTAAAGTTCAATAGCTTCCCAGGACTTGTCACTCGTCACGCTGTCGTGTCCTAGTGGTTCGACGATAATCTTTGAACTAATAGGAGGGACTATCAAAGATCGGCTGTCTTAGGAGGTACTTAACTACCTGAATATTGGCGGTGGTCTGTTTAACTTATATAACCTGATCGATCTGCAATTGTTTCGAAGGTGCGCAGACAGTACGTTGCTATCTAATTTCGTGAAGATGGTTTATTGCGGGAAACCCTCAAAGGGTTGTCAGATGTGTAGGACGAGGAGAATAAAGGTAGGTTGCCATACGGGCAAGCATATCCTTTTATATCCTCTTATCCCCTCGCAGACTATCCCCTCGCAGACTAACCAGCGCTCTTCTCCGAGCAATAGTGCGACGAGACAAAACCAACGTGTAATCAATGCACCAAGTCACGCAGACAATGTCCTGGATATAAGGACGAGTTTGACCTGATCTTCCGTAACGAGACGCAGGCTACCGAGCGTCGAGCGCGGAAGGCTGGCAACAAGGGATCAGCGGTAAAGACAGGGAAACCAGACTCTACGTCGGGGGACATGAGAGTGTCCTTGGTATTCGCCAACAGCACCAAACCACCTATAAAACAAGCACTCATTCGTCCGCTCAACATCCCTATAGAACAACAGGCCAGTTGTAGCTTCGTCTCTAATTTCGTCTTGATACCCGGAGAAGGAAACGGGCGAGCTTTCATGGACTTCATCATCCCGCTGCTGAAGGAAAATTCGCAAGGCCACTTACAAAATGCCTTCAATGCGTGCTCGATGGCTTTTCTAAATAACCGGGGAGGCGTGTGTAGCAGGTTTTCGGACAGAGCGCTGTATGAGTATACGAAGGCGCTTAACGGAACAAATGCTGCTTTGAGAAACCCCGAGACGCAACTGGCGGACACGACGCTGGCAGCTGTTTTATTGCTGGGCTTGTTCGAGGTACGTCTATCTTGCTTTAGAGTGTCATATACGACGCGATGGTGTTCTAATATGGCACCTATACGTGTATAGAGCATCACGGCAAAACAAATCGGCATGCTCAACTGGGGTTCACATACCGAAGGCGCCATACAGCTCGTCAAAGCTCGAGGGAAAAAGCAGTTAAAGACCAAAACTGGCTTAGGTCTCTTCATCGCCGTTCGAACCCAAATGGTGCGTTTAGTTTTATTTATTTTTACCTGTTCAGCATATAGTTAACTTAGCTGTGACTGCTAACGATACGACCAGATTATTCATAGCCTCACGGCTGGAACAACCCCTACAATGGGCGCCGAGTGGTGGATCGACGACGCGATTAGGGACAAGACAGCAGCATCGTGTCACCGGCTCATGATCAAGTTAGGAGAGTACCGAGCCGAAGTCACACGGCTGATGAACAGCATGGCGCGAACGCCCGACAACGTCGAGATCATGACGGACATGCTCCGGCGAATACAGACGGTCGACCAAGAAGTCGTAGCCTGGATGCGCAACGTGCCCGAAGACTGGAAATTCCGCACGGTAACATGGGAGGACCACGTGCCCAACGGCGACTACTCGAAAGCAGAAGTGTTCCCCGGCCGCGTCGACGTCTACCACGACTTCTACATCACCAGCGTGTGGAACACCTCGCGCACGGCACGTCTGATCCTAGCCTCCCTCGTCGTGCGCTGCGCAGCCTGGATCTGCAGCCCGGTCGACTACCGCACGACGCCCGAGTACGCGACCGCAGCGCGCACCTGCGCGGAGACCATCACCGACATCATCGCCTCGGTGCCGTACCAGCTGGGCTGGCGTCCGAGCAAAAACAACCCTTCCCACCACCATCACCACCACCACCAAAATCAACAGCAGCAGCAACAGCAGCAGAGCGGATTCCTCTGCGGCGAGGAAAACTCCCCCAAGGCCCTCGCCGGCTACTTCCTCACGTGGCCGCTCATATGCCTGCACAGCCAGGACTACACGACGGACGCGCAGCGCGCGTGGATCCACGGGCGCCTGCGGTTCATCGGCGACGAGCTCGGGGTCAAGTACGCGCACGTGCTGCGGCAGCTGCGCATTCGCATGCCGAGCATGCTGATCCGGCGGGACGCGCTCATGGCGAAGCAGGCTAGCGCGACGCCGCTGCCGCAGCAGCAGCAGCAGCAACAGGAGGATTATTCTTACTCGAGGAGGTCGCAGGGGCAGATGGGGATGAGTATGGGTATGGGGGCTTGTTCGTTTGCGCCGCCGTTGCCGCCGGGGTTGTCGGCGGGTGTGTTTGTTGGGCAGGCGGCGCTGCGGGAGGGTTGCAGTGTTAGCGATGATGATGGTGGTGGTGGTGGTGGTGGTGATGATGATTATGGTTATGGCGAGAGCGGGTTTAATAATGGTAATGGTGGCCCGTTGCAGCATGTCGAGGCGCTGCGGAAGAAACACTTCGAGAAGCATCGCGCGGAGCTGCTGGCGCATGCGGCTGGAGGCCAGGACGCGGGGGAGAGTCAGAAGTGGGTTGCGCGGCGGTGGTTGGTTGTGTGATGGGATGGTGGTATTAGTGGTGATATTAGTGACGATATTAGTGAAGTGACGATATTGGTGTTCGGGTTGGTGTTGGTGTTGGTGTTAATGGAGGCAGACGACTTTCGACTTTTATGATTACAACTTATAATTACATGTACCTGAGCTGTCTACTACCTAACCTATAACAATCTAACCGCGAGACTGCACATCCAAGGGATCACCTATCTATGTACAATACTTAAGACGAGACGGATAGGATAGAAACGACCCAGCAGGCAGCCAGACGGATAGAAGCCGGATGAGACGGCACTGGCACTTCGAAGGCGTACCGCAACGCTATGATATCTACCTATCCTACCCTTCTACATATGTATGTAACCGAACCCATCTGGTCGATGCCGGGGGTCATTGATCGGCGCTGCGCTCGCAAGGGTGAGGGTGGATTAGGAGGCCTCGATTGCGGCAACCAGCGACATATGTAATACATACTTATATATATAGGTATTTATATCCACTTCTATGTAGAACTCTAGAATTTAGAGGTCTAGGTTACTTAATAAAGGGTTTGCGTATTATTCTGGGGTTTCTTTGTACGTTTTTATATGTACGCGGAATATGGTTCGCGAGGGCTTGCTGGAGCTATGAACCGCGAGGCCATTTTATCTACCGAATACGATAATACGTCGTATTTCTTTAATGAACCAAACGAGAATGGGGAATTTGAATTACCTACCTAGGTTAGGTACTTGAACTTACACAGACACGGCTTTCTGCATGAGTTCCTAGAAACATATCCGGGTGTAGATTAACTTCAATTTGCATCTCTTTCGACAGGACTCTGTATGGCATTGCAAGACATTTCCTTCAACGAGTCTTGTCTAGTATCTGTACCTCAAGGCTTGCTGTCGGACAGGATTCGAGGCATGATGAGCAACGTAGTCTCATAGAAGCTATAAAAAAGCAAAGTCGATAAACTTGCAAATGCCTTTTTGAATAGGTAGTTAATAAAAGGAGTAAAGAATTCAAACGCAGAAATCTCGTCTCCGCGATTTCTATATAGGGCCATCCCCTAGTCGGTTAGGGTATCATTATATATCGTACAGGTTTCTCCTTCGCTCCCATCCTTGCGCGGTGGCAGGTGGCAGGTGGCAGGCGGTAGATCTGAAATCAACCATGCGTATCTAACCTAGCTGATTCATTTTCTTCGAGCTCGCCATTTCATCCGTATAAGTGGTGGGTACACGTAGAACAAAGATAATAAGAAAAGAGCCGTCAAATCGTTCAAGTCCACCGGACGCCTCGTATCTCGACTCCCAACTTTTACCTCCTCTTGACGGGGGGCGTAGAATTCCCTAGATTCCAGGCCTTGACGACCCAGCTCTGAGTCGCATCGACGTACTTCTCCTGCTCGACGTGCTTGACGCCGACCTTCAGGCCGTCTTTGGTGAAAACGAGGTTCTTCCGAGCCATGCGCTGCTCCGTAGTGTCGCGGATCTTGGTCGCCCCGAGGTATACTTGGTAGCCGACGAAGGCGATGCCGCCAAGGACGACGAGAAGGATTAGGAGAGGTAGCAACTGTCTGCGCGACGGGAGGAAGCGATTGCGCTTGCGTTAGCGAATGGAACGGGGAGTGATGTGTATAGTATATATATAACGGCAATGCTTAGTACCTGAAAGTCGAGGACTTGGCCTCGACTGGGATGTGAGACTTGTTCTTCCAAACCATGATTTCCGCTGTGGGAGGTTGAATTGGCTGATTGGTGATGTTCCTGGATGGTTATGTGGAATATGCTGGTTCGCAATCTTGGAGAGAGAAAAAGAGAAAAAAAAAGACTACAAAGAAAATAAAGTAGTGCCCAATTTACCGGTAGCGGAAGCGGAAACAGTCTGTGTTAGTACGAGGATAGGTATTAAGGTAGGTTAGGTACTTAGGAAAAGAAGGTATAGCGTATATGTAGTGATCGGGGAGATCTGCAGAGGATCACTAAGGGGACTTATAAGTTGAGTATCACGGCCCTCCGGATCTAAAAAGGGATCTAGATAGATGGGAAAGGGAAGGTTTAAACGTGCTATTATCGTAACGCAATCGCTAAATGAGATAGGTACTAAAATTAGGTAGGTAGATGTACCGTAGATACGCATATGGTAGCACAAGGGGAGAGTCTAGCCTGCCTAATCGAGGTTGATTTCAAGGGAAACAGCACAGCAGGATCGAGCTGGAAGTTCGGCACACGTTTTGATTTGGATTGGGTTTGGTGCTTACGGAACACATGTACATACCTAGGTACATACCTAATAGTGTAGGTACATATGTACCTACCTAATGTATAGTGAGATTTCGGAGATGTGGAGGGGTTAGGTCCCCCCTCCGAAGAGGTACGTACATAGTCTTTACATAAGCATAAATCCATGTTGTTTCCCATCTTGGCCTTGGCATGGAAGGAAGCTTGGACCAAGATCGAATAAAGCTACCTACTAGGTTACATACTTTACATAGGTAGGTACGGAATAAACCGTATAACCCCGTTGTTAGCATTAACCCGCAAAGCCTGCCAGCCCGCCGTCAGGTTCACCCACCATTTTGTGCAATCTGTCGAATCACAGCGTCATTTGGCTTGTGAAATTGACAAGTTGCTGAATTCGGGTGACATCCATCTATCCCATCGCCGGTATAGTCCAAAATGATGATCTTGTAAACCACAATATTTACGCCTCGTGTTTTTTCACCTTTCCCTTTTTTTCATCCTACTTCGTTCCATCTATATCTATACACGTCCGCTAGCAGTCGACATCCCTTTTCGTTTCTGCTTTTTATTAAAACGTGGCCTTGGCCTCCGAGAACACCCCATCCTTTATCGATTCGTGTCCACAAGCTCGAACCCTCAGGCAGTCTCACCACCAACATCTCTGGGGTTGACACGACGAGATATTCTTCCTACGTAATTTATATCCGGCGCGCACTGGGCCGTTAGAACGTCCGCAGAAAATAAAAATCTTTTGAACCCAAGTAGGAGGAAGACAGGATCAGGACAGGCCGAGAAACGAGAATATCACTGATCAGTGACCCATTGCGCCAACATGGCTGCCCCCAATGACGGCTACGGCCAATACCCACCACAGGAGTACGGCCAGGAGGCGCCATATTCAGACCAGCAGCTTGTCGGCTACGAAGGACAGGCATCCCCCCCTCCTCAGGCCGCATCGCACCACGATGGAAAAAAGAAGAAGAGAGGCTATGCCACCCAGGCGTTCGAGTTCGGAAGCGGCGCGAACGCTGGCGCTACTGGCCCAACACCCGGCGGTATATCACCTGGATACGGAGGTCCCGTTCCGGGTCCTCAACCCTCTCCGGGCTACGGGGCTGGCAGTGCCTATCCTCCCCCAGATTTTCAACAGGGCGGCTACGGCTCTCCCGCACCCGGCCAAGCACCATACGGCGCTCCGCAGCAGACAGGTGCTCCCCAGCCGGGGTTAGGTGGCTACCAAGCTCCCGACCCATACTACCAGCCGGGAGTCGGACAGCCACCTCCGGGAGTTGCCGGCATAACTCAAGGAATGTCTGGTATGAACATGGGGCCCGGCCCTCAGCCCGCCGTCCAACAACCTGCTCAGCAAGCTCGGGTCGCCTTAAACCAGCTCTATCCGACCGATCTGCTGAACCAACCATTCAACGTATCAGAGTTAGATCTACCTCCCCCCCCTTGCATCCTACCACCAAATGTGAGTTCCGTGGAAATATTCTTTGCGTATCTATTTTTAGGGCTAACTCTCGTAATAGGCCAGTGTCACCCAGTCTCCCGATGCGAACTGCCCTCCCAAATATATCCGGTCGACCATAAATGCAGTCCCTACCACGCATTCCCTGCTTAAGAAGTCTAAATTGCCATTTGCCCTCGTCATCCAGCCGTATGCCGCCCTTCACGACATCGACGATCCCGTGCCCGTTGTTCAGGATCAGGTAATAGCCAGGTGCCGAAGATGCAGGACTTATATCAACCCTTATGTGATCTTCTTAGACCAAGGTCACAGATGGCGGTGTAATATGTGCAATCTTACCAACGACGTGCCGCAAGCCTTTGACTGGGATGCTGCCGCTCAGAAGAGCGTCAACCGATGGGATAGGTACGAACTAAACCACTCCGTTGTCGAATTTGTTGCGCCTCAGGAATATATGGTGCGCCCTCCGCAACCGTTGGTGTATCTGTTCCTTTTCGATGTTAGCTACGCTGCTGTCTCTACCGGTCTTCTTGCTACAAGCGCGCGTACTATTTTAGACAGCCTCAACAGGATACCTAACGCCGACCGACGAACCCGATTAGGATTCATCGCAGTCGACTCGAGCTTGCACTATTTCTCTGTCCCCAAGGATGATGACGAAAATGCGGAGACATCTATGCTGGTTATTAGCGATCTAGATGAGCCGTTCCTACCGGTTCCTCAGGATCTCCTGGTCCCCCTGATAGAAAGCCGAAGCAGCATTGAGAACTTTTTGGCCAAGCTTCCCGACATGTTCCAGAATAACCAGAGTAACAACTCGTGCATGGGATCTGCCCTGAGGGCTGGCCACAAGCTCATCTCACCATTAGGTGGCAAGATCGTGGTGCTCAGTGCTTCGCTGCCGAATTTGGGAGTAGGAAAGCTAGAGATGCGGGAAGATAAAAAACTGCTGGGTACGTCCAAAGAGAGCGGGCTCCTCCAGACTGCAAACAGTTTCTATAAGTCGTTTGCTGTCGAGTGCTCCAAGAATCAAGTTTCCATCGATATGTTCCTTTTCTCCTCGCAATACCAAGACGTGGCCTCGCTTAGCAACCTTCCCCGATATACCGGTGGCCAAACCTGGTTTTATCCCGGATGGAATGCGGGCCGCGCCGAGGATGCGGTCAAGTTTGCATCGGAGTTTAGCGACTTCCTATCTTCGGAAATTGGGTTGGAAGCAGTGCTTAGAGTACGAGCCACGACGGGCTTGCGCATGAGCACGTTTTACGGGAATTTCTTCAACAGGTCTTCGGATCTCTGCGCCTTCCCGGCTTTCCCCCGCGATCAATGTTACGTAGTCGAGGTGGCCATCGACGAGACTCTGCAGAAGAACTACGTTTGTTTACAAGCCGGTGTCTTGTACACTACATGCAACGGTGAACGGCGTATCCGTGTCATGACGCTCGCAATCCCCACAACAACCAACCTCGCGGATGTGTATGCCTCGGCCGATCAGTGTGCGATTACGACATACTTCACTCACAAGGCTGTCGAGAGAGCTCTTAGCAGCGGTTTAGACGCCGCCCGCGATGCTCTCCAGAGCAAGCTTATTGAGCTTCTTCAGACCTTTAAGAAGGAATTAGGGGGCGGAAGCATGGGCGGTGGTGGGCTACAATTCCCTGCCAATCTGCGCGGCCTCCCAGTGCTCTTCTTAGGCTTGATCAAACACGTCGGTCTTCGAAAGTCGGCGCAAATACCGTCAGATCTCAGGTCAGCGGCTCTGTGCCTACTATCTACGTTACCTCTGCCGCTTCTAATGCAGTACATTTACCCTCGGTTATATTCGCTACACGATATGCCCGATAATGCTGGAGTTCCCGATCCAGAAACAAGCCAGATTGTTCTCCCACAGCCATTAAACTTGTCGTCGGAGCGATTCGTTACCTATGGGCTATACTTGATCGATGATGGCCAAACGCAATTCCTATGGGTGGGTAGGGATGCAGTACCCCAGCTATTAACGGACGTATTTGGTGTAGGGGATCGCACTCAGCTACGTGTCGGCAAGGGCTCGATTCCCGAGCTCGATAACGACTTCAACGAACGTGTCCGAGCCGTAATTCAAAAGAGCAGAGACCACCTATCACGCGGAGTTGGTAGCATCATCGTACCACATCTATACATCGTACGGGAAGATGGTGAACCAAGTCTAAAGCTCTGGGCGCAGACGCTGCTCGTAGAAGACCGGGCAGATCAAGGGATGAGCTTCGGTCAGTGGATGGGAACGCTGAGAGAAAAGGTATGTTGAGAACTCTAATTTTCCCCAATGGCACTTATGCTTATTTTAATTTTAATTCTAGGTTGTGCAGTAGTATCACCACTACCTAAAGGTGTATTGAGGGTTTGCAAGACGAGTTCCAACGACTTCACCGATAAAGAGAAGGCCCTGGAGAAAAGAGGAAGTAAATCAAAGTAACGCCAGCGAGTCCTTGACTTGGAATTGACGACATATCAACTAGCGCCTCACATCGTGTTAAGTACCTAAAACTAGCATTAATAAGCCTTACAGCGGCTTTATTTCAAGCCAGTGGGCCGATTTTGTTCTCAGGTCCGTTTCATACGGCCGAACTAGGTCTACTACGTGACCGAGTGGGCTGCGGACCTGTTACGTGCCTTTATCATGTAGAAAGCTCCGCTTAGCGAATTACAATCCCGTTTAGTGAGAAGGGATCTCGAGCCGGTGTCTTGAGATGCTAGTGATACGGGTGATCGACATTCCGCCAGGTATTGTCCGCGTGTACCATTAATATGTCAGCAATTCAACAATGCGTGCCCATCCATCTGTCTGATGCTTACCGATTTACCAGTCTCACAAGATCTCGCTAGTCTACATAGTAATAAGTAGCGCGGCAATGCCATAGTACGTACATAGGATATGAGGCGGATGTAATACCTACATATGGAAGATATTCCATCGGCCATAGATGCAGCACCCGGATCGACTTAGATCAGACCCGGTTGGCAAATGGAGCCGAACAATGCGGGAATGGTGTGGACAAGTTGCCCTTATTTCTCCGAAGACCGGTACACAAACCAGTCATATATCATTGTTGGACCCGGCAATCTGGGCATTGGGCGCCGCGGCGGATACGCAGGTAGGTAGCTATATCGTAAGCGCCTCGGCTCTTTTGACAGAGTCAACTTGACTTGACTTTTTACCCTTTGCTCGCATAGCATAGCACAGCACAGCACAGCCCGGCCCTATCGGTGGTTTCTGGTACGGAAAGTAAAAGTGGCAGGCGGGCAGGCGGGCGGGCAGGCAGACAGGCAAGAGACGGGACGAATTTTCAGGATAACGAGTGGCCGGGAGGCAGCCGGTGCCGAGGGTGCTTCAGATCCCTGGTCATATCTTTAGGTTGGGACGCAAGTGTGTCGACTAATCATGAAACGAACAGGGGAGGCTGTCGGGATAGGTCTAAAACACACGCGCCGGACTGCAGTGTGCGGCGCTTACGGTGGATGGTTATTGGGCGACCTAGCGTGTGTGTGTTGAAATCTATTGGCGGTCGAATATTGTTGTGGCGTGATGGGATGGGATAGAGTGTTTATATTAGGGCTGTTTTTGACGAAGATGAAGACGAAGGTGTAGAAATGTTATTTCATTGGTTCATGCACTTATATATGCTCATGTACATTGATACAGTTTACGTGTGACGATAACAAGTACCTAGGTAACAATAGGTACCACCTAGGAAAGAAGACCCCGCGAGAGAGAGTGTGTGTCTCGATGCACAAACATCCCCTTACCCCTCCGACCCCACTAGCCAATACATCTCTCCTATCAATTTAAGGTTCTCTCCTAGCTCCTAAGCCCCTCCCCTCGCACATCGCGCTTCTATGTATGTACATATCACACTTTCTCTCATCCCGTCTTGAGTCAAACTTAAAATATCCCTCGGGACTGGACTGTGTACCTACCTACCTACCTAGGTAGGTAAGTTTAGTATCGTCAACCTGCACTGGACTTGCCTTGCCCCTTTATACCGAGCAAACCTGATTTCAGATCCCACGTGGAGAATTACCCGGGACTAACATCAACTTAGGGGCGCTTGGAGGTACCTGTCTCAGATAAATGTTAAAGAGAAAGCTTATTAGACACGATAGTATAATAAATACTGCACAAACGCTTGTCTCGTCTTTTAATACGTTTCTTCTCTACATACCTACCTAACCTATACATATCTTCTGGTCTCCTCATCGGGCAACTTCTGCGGCTGCTGTTCCCACACGCTTGCGTAAACGACGATTCATGATCTGGTTCATTATCTGGTTCATTATCTGGTACTAGTTCTAAGAGGCCGTCCCATCCGTTTAGAACTCCTAGTGTCTTGTCGCCGTCGCATTATTGAGGTCCACAGCCCACCCAGCGCGGATTCTATTCAATAGATCACCGACCCATACATATATAGGGGCCCGAACGGATTTATCCACTGTCATTGTAACGGCGAAGCTCCTTTTTTGGGGTTGGTCGAGCTCTTTGACATCTCTGCCCCCGCCCCCCGGTCCCGCCTGGCCTGCCCGCCCGCTCGCACCCGCTTCACTTTTATTTTTCTGAGCATCTACCTAAATTGTTGATTCTACCTACTACATACCTCATACATTAGGTACCTAACATAGTATTAGTATTATTGACACGATCGCCTCGTCTTATTATTATTATTATTGTTATTACCCGACTGACCTAGTTTATTATACGAAACTCACCTGGGGTGACTAAACAGTTTCGTTTCTATTTAGTTAACAGTTATTTTATTTTTATTCTTTCCTACTCGGTACGAATCACGTAATAAATCTGGAATAATCCCTACTTTCGACTTTGAAAGTACCTCCCTACCTAAACTGCCTACGAAGGAGGTACTTGGACCTTCCATCTCAGAAGGCGGGGCTCGTCCCAAAGCTCTTGTCTTTTTATTATTATTCAACTTTAAACTCAACGCTTTCCGCTTGCCGCTTTCCACTTTCCAATCGCGCGGTAACTAAACCCAAAGGTAAGAGTTATTTTTATTTTATTTCCCTTCCTCTTAACCCTTAACCCTTACCCCTCACCCCTCACACGCAATCACAAAATCCGACGATGGGAACGCCAGCTGCCAGTCTTCAAACTTGAATCAACCGTGCACCGTTCGGTAACGCCAAGGATCGCTACTCGTACCGGCGCGCATCTTTCGAGACCCTGTTCCCCTCCTCTCTCGATCATTGGTACAGACTGCGCGCCTCAAGTTTTGTAACACGGGGTTCCAACCACAGACACCACAGACACCACCTGCACTCTTTGACCCCGACCTTGAGACTTGACAAGTCGTAACATAAACCCTCTTCGACCTTCGGTAATTCCCAGCTACGCGAACTACTCTATCTCGAGTAGTTCGTCTTCGTGGGACCATTACATTCGGCTGAACCAAGTAGCAATTGCAGGTGAGAGCGCCACGATTTACGCCGGCCTAAGCTGCACAGACCCACGGATCCGATCAAATCGCTTAACTCCTAACGGCATCTGATCTTCATATCGGGACGATCAATTATTACTTTATTCCTCACCTTGGTCTCAGCCGCAGTTATTGTTGTCTTTGTTTTTACGTCTAAAACCTCAGCTAACACATCATCTTCTAGCTCAGCCGGATAACCGCAGCATTGCCGCACTAAGCTGAGTTCGACGAGCATAAAGAAGCACCAATATTTCGTTCGCCCACTTGAAAGAACGAAACGAAGCGACGCCACAATAAAGCAAACAACCCGACTCTTTGCGACTATCGATCTATCGGAGTATTAATCTCTCCAAATCGTGCTTGTCGGCCCCGCATTCTACACGAGTTGGACTCTATTTCGGGAAGTGCGAATAGCGTCGTCTCGTCGTCCAATATCCTGTCGAGTTGTACTCCGCTGAGTGGAGCGTGCACGAGTTTAATATTCCTTGGCGAGCCCAGATTACCTATATAGGCGCTCTTATTGCCCTTGCAGGACCCTAATAAATCTGCTCTTGAGGCCCGAGGCGGTGGAATCTTTAAGCTCTTAGGTTCCCTCCCGCGTTCGGTCTTGAATTCGACTTGAAGCACATATTTTCTTAGCAATACACCAACATGTCGCGATCAAATCCTCCTAACCCGGCCGGATCCCGGAAGATTTCGTTCAACGTTAGCGAACAGTATGACATTCAAGATGTTGTGGGCGAGGGAGCTTATGGTGTCGTCTGGTAGGCTTGTAGATATCTTCGAAATCCAAATCAGGTCAGATTATTAACCAACCGTACACAGCTCGGCGATACACAAGCCTTCAGGCCAGAAGGTCGCCATTAAGAAGATCACTCCCTTTGACCACTCTATGTTCTGCTTAAGAACTCTCCGAGAGATGAAACTTCTTCGATACTTCAACCACGAGAACTGTTGGTAGGTACGTACGTATGGTAAAAACAATAAATAAGGTAATAATAAACAATAATGTTAAAACTGGTATATAATAAATATTTAAGGAGGGAAGAATCTATCTAAGGCTAACTAAATATAATATATTCTTATATTCCAATAATAATAAATATCCGACCCTTTTATTTAATAAAATCGGATATCTTATCTTTTCTTCTCTTATCTACAATAAAAATACCTTATTATTAATAAAATGCCTTTATATCAATATTACACGATTATTATTTACTTTATTTTTTTTTCGCAATTAATTAATTATAAAATATAACTTAAATAAATAAAATTTTAAGATTTATATTAATACATATTTATATTAATTCGGATATATACTATTACACATTTATAGTTTTACACATCTATAATCGCACACATTTATAACGGTTAAAGAATAAAACCGTAATAGTCCAAATCAAAAATTATCCTATAAATAAAATTGCGTTAATATATATCGTACCATTCCATTCCTAATATATTCTTTTTTACTTCTTATAATAACCTACATTTAAATTGATATTAATAATTAGCTTTAATAATTTATTATTATATTAGTTTAATATTACTCCCAATTTCTTTGCATTTTATCCACCCTTCCAAACGTAAATTAATTTAGTTATTTTTTACTAATATTTTTATAGCCTTATTTAAAAACGTTTTTATTATTACATCTACCGGATTGTAATTATTATATATTTATTAGATATTATTAATTTCCCTATTTTTGTACAACTATTTTAAGATTATAAAATTAATTATTAATTTCTTTTCATTAGTATTACTTATTTGGATAAGATATTAATATAACAAGAAAAAATTCGTATATAAAATAAAAAAGATTATTAAGAAACTTAATCGGCTTAAAATAATATTAATAATATTATAGATAATATAGCCCATATTAAAACCTTATACTATTCTATAGATTTTATTAGCAAGTATATTATGTATAATATATTTATATTTAGTAAATAATTAATAGATAATATTACCGATAAGTTATATTTTATTATTATAATTTATAAATCTTTTATTACTAAATATTATAATATAGCCAATCTAAGAATTTATATCCTTATTATTGGCGAATAAACTGTTTATAAAAATGTATAGGCGTAGGTTTTAGGAGTTTAATTTTATATATTTAAAGTCTTAATCTTTATGGTTTATTTACTATTTAATTTTTACATTAAGGACTTTAACTTTTTTTAGTTTAAATTTTATATGTTATATTGTTATGGAATAGTTAAAAATTATTTTGGGTTAGTAAATAAACATAATATAAATATTTTTTATATGTTATTTTATAAATTTTTTAATTATATTAAATATTTTTAGGTTTAGTTTTTCTAATTTTTTTATTTATTCCTTTTAAATAGTAGAGATTGTTTTTTTATAGATTATAATCTATAATTTATTAAAGTTTTTAATTACGTTTGGTTTTAGAATTTTTTAAAGTTTTGTTTTAATATTTATTCTTACAAAAGCCTTATCTTTTTTAGTTAAAAATTCTATTATATCAATATTTAATATATTATTTATTTATAAATTTATGATTTCAAATGGTTAATTTGGTTTTGTAATTAATAGGTATGGGTTAAATATTGACAGGATTATGCCTAATTTTTTTTAATAATACCTAGAATAAGTTTTAAATTAATATATGTTTAATTTTGCAAATTTATATAAAGGTTTGATTATTTGTAATAGCATTTTTTTAAGGTATTTATTTTTTAATTTTAAGGGTAGGCGTATGTATATTATTTTTTATATAAGGGTTTTAAATTATATATATATTATAATAATATTTTAGATTATTATTTTTATATTTTATTATTATAATATAGATGTTAAAGTTAGTATTAGGCGTTAGTTGGTGCGTTGGATTATTGGAGTATATATTATAATAGAGTTTTTTTCGAGGTTTTTATAGCCTTGTATTATAAATCGTAATTTTTTATATAGTGTTGGTATGTTTTTTCCCTTAATTTTATAAATTATACAAAATTTAAATATGGTTGCGTTTTGGTGGAGTGTTTTATCGTATATTTCGGGTTATAAGATATTATTTATAAAAAAGATATTGAATTTTTTTATATTAAAGGCTTTATATGATCTTTTTAACGTAATTATTTTTTTATTCAATTATAATTTTAAAATAAAAGCGTAATTGTTCTTTTCCTTTGTACTAATATATATTATATTTATAATAAATATATCTAAATTTTTATTAGATATAATTTTATATTTATTAGGATTAAATTAAAATAGCAGTAGCAGTAAATGAATTTTAAGATTTTCTTTTAACTATTTATATAACTTAACATGTATATTTCGAAAAATCAAAATATTTTTTAACGCGTTTAATACAATAGTTATATTTTTATCTGTAATAACAATAACCTTATATAATCTTTTCTATTTACCTTTTTTATAGTAGATTAGTATATTATTGTTGATAGGTAGTGATATGGGTAGCGTTTTTAAGGTATCTAATTTATTTTTTATGTTTATAGCATTATAGATAGTTTTTTACGTTTTGATTTTTTTGATTTCAATTATAACTTTCTATATCGCTTAAACCTTTTTTAATTGCAATTACATGGGAAGAAAATCTATATTAATCTTTAAATAAACACTAAAAATTAATAAAATGGAGATAAGACTATCCAAATTTACCGTATCGTTTACAACCTTAATTATTATTTATAGGTAAACCTCTTTTAACCCCTATATTTCTTCGAAAATAATTTTATATATTTTCTAAATCAGACCATAATATTTTTTTATTTTACCAATTAACCAATATACCTTAATAAATACCTAATTATAAATAATTTTTATAAGGCAAACCTTATTACAAAATTTAACACTATCAAAATTAATATTTATATTATAGCTAAAGATATTTAATAATTTTAGATATATATTAATTTAATATTATTTAAACATTTCCTAGGTTTTTTTAACGGAAATATTTTTTATAAATTAGGTTATTTAAAATTTTATTACTACGTTAATTACGTAAAAAACCAATTTTTTATTTAAATATATGATATTAGTGATTATTTCATAATTAAAATCTATATTAAGATTTTTAAAACTAAATTTAAAATGTTAAAATACCTTACTTTTAACTTAATAATAATGGTAAAACTTGTTGATTTTTTTAAGATTTTTAGTATTTACCTTATATCTTACTTTATTGAATAGATTATAAAATTTGCTAATAAATGGGTGGCTAAAACATATATATAAACAACACAATTTTACTTTCGTAAAATAAATAACATTATTAAACTAAAATTATAAGTATTCCCATTTTCGTATAATTTTAATTGTTATACCATTTTTATTAATTAATTAGTTAATAATATTATTAAGGTATATTTTTAAACAGTTTATATTTTTAATAAAAAAGAAAAACAGAATATTTATTTTTATTATATGGAAGTTTATCTTACCAAACAGGATATTAATTATTATAATCCCTAATAATTTAATAAACAAACCATTTCCAAAATATATATTAATTTTACCAACGCAATTAATATTTAAATTATTACAATATTTTAAGTTTTTATTAACAAAAATTTAATATTAACCCTTATTTACAATTAATACTTACGTTATTTTTATATTCAATATAATATCTTAAAATACGTTTTTTATATATTAGTTAAAAATAAATATAGTATCAATATCAGATTTATTAATAAATTTTTTAAGATTTAATATTTATAAATTAAATTAATATTAAAAAGATTTATTTAAAAAATAAACCGCAATTATATACTAACTCTTTAATTTTTTTTTTTTTTTAATAAACTCTTCAAACTTTTTTACGTTAGAATTTTTAATATCTTTATATCTGGTTAAGAAAATTATATAATTTTCCTTCGCCTAGTTTTTTTTAACTTTCCATTAGACTTTAACCTTTTTACGTTCCTTTTCCAAATACTTAATTAATTAACATTTTTTTTTTTTATATACTTAATAACAACGTTTTTAATATTTTAACGTTTTTTAATAAATATTATATTTACCGCCTTTATTATTACAATAATATTTATAATTAATATAATATTAACCAATATTATGTTTATTATTATTACTATTTTTACTATTAATATTTACTATAAATTAACATATCTTTTTAAAATTCTTAAACATTTTAATAAATATTTGAAATTTATTGGCTAATTTTTTAAAATAATATAATAGAATAAATAATATATATTATAATTATAGTATATTACGGCATGCTCTATATACAGTTGCAATAAATTATTATTTTCCCCTAAAATCAAATCCAAAAACGCATTAATATAATAATAATTTATTAAATATAACTTATAATATTTCCATATTAAACTTACTTTTATTCTTTTTTTCAACCTTTATATTATAAAAAATAATAACTATTTAATTTTAATAATATTATATCTTATTCTATTTTATATTAAAATATTATTTTATAATTATATATATATCTATAAAATATTAATATTTGGGTATATTATAAAAGAAATAAATTACTATTTTTTTAATAAGAATAGTAGAAAATATAATATAAAATTATATTTATTAAATTTTTATTATATAACATATGTCTAAAAAAAATCAAAATTTATTTTTAAAAATATTATATGTTTTCTTTATATAATTATTTTTATTATTTTAAGTTTTTTTAAAATGGCCTATAATTATTAAAAAATATATTTTATTAAAGATTTGTATCAAAAAAATATTATAGTAGGTTTAAGCTTATTAATTACTAACAGATATTAAAATTTAGGCGGAAGAATTAAATACTTATAAAAATAATAAAGCTATTTAAAAAAAAAAACCGTAACCTCTAATAGGTTAATTTCTTTCGTTTAATCCAATATTTAGTAAAACCGCTAATATTATATATAAATTACCCAATAACAATTTAAAAAATCTAAACGTATTTTTTGTAATTAAGGGAAGGGACTATACCTAACTAATTTTATATTTGAGATTATACCTTAGATTATACCCTTATTATTTTACAAAAGGTATGAATAGTTTTTATTAAACTAATAAAGAAGGAGAAAAGGGGTTAGATAATGTCCAAATACCATTTTAATTACTTTATTAAAGTTACGCTAATTGTTATAGATAACTTGGCATATTTTATAATAGTGGACTAAAATTAAATGTATAAAAAAAGGGGAAAAAAAAGTATATTAAAAATGATAATTAGTTAAGAAATCAAAAAATAGGTTTCAATTATTAAATTAGTAGTAAAACGTTAGGAATTGATAATAACTAATTAAAAATAAAAAATAGTATTTATTTTAACTATGGAGTAGGTAATATGTATTATAAATTAAAAAGGGGTAGGGTTTAAGGTATAGTATTTTATATTAAAACTTATTTTATAGGTATAATTATGTGTATTAGTATTTATAGGTTAAAAATTGTTTAATGTTATTGTATTGGCGCTTATAATTATATAAATACGCATATAACGGGGTATACCGGTTTTTTTTCGATTTTATGAATTAAAATTTTCTATATTAATATGTTAAGCTATTTTATTTTTATTACCTTTAATTTGGTAATATTTTATATAAGTAAATTACGTAATAATATAAAATTAACAAATATTTTTATATAATTAACGTTATATTTTTTTATATAAATGCTTTTTTGTATTAGTATGTTTTGTAGCGTTAATTATAATTATTTTAATAATATTTTAAAATTATTTACCGTGAATTTTTTAAATTGTTTTTAGTATTTAATTATTATTTTTTTGATTAAGCGTGTATATAATATTTTATTATTAGTGGTTTTAAAATTTATTAGTGTAAAGAATACCTATATTATTTTTTGTTTAGGCGTGGTTGTTTGGGGATTAATTTTTTTTTATTATATTATTATGTGGTCGAATATTATATTGAGTATAAATATTTGATTAAGGAAATAACTTAAAAGTTTATGCAATTTATTTATGTTTTTTTATTTAATAAGATTGTATATAGTGTAAATCTGCGTTTGCGTTAAGCTTTTTATTTGTGTTTTTTGGGATATGGTGGAAAGGATTAATGATATAAATAATAATAATTTTGTAAATAAAGGGTTTAAGTTGCAATAGTTTATTAAAAATACGAACAAATTATATAAAAAAATAAAATTATAACTTGTTATAAACTACAAAAATAATATAAAAAAAAATGTTAATATTGTTTGTGTTATTGTAATAAAAATTTTTAAATTAAAACAATAATGATTTTTTTAACTTTATTAATTTATATTACTATTATTTAACAATATTAATTAATATTGGTAAATACGTATATATAATAAAAATAATAAATAAAATAATAATAAATAATAGTATTAAAATTGGTATATAATAAATATCTAAAAAGGGAAGAATTTATTTAAAGCTAATTAAGTATAGTATATTTTTATATTTCAATAATAGTAGATACCCGACCCTTTTATCCAATAAAATTGGGTATCTTATCTTTTCCTCCCTTATCTACAATAAGGGCACCTTATCATTAGTAAGGTGCCTTTATATCAGTGTCACACGACCATCAAGAACATTATCTCTATTCTTGACATCCAAAAGCCACGCAGCTATGAGTCTTTTACCGAGGTGTATCTAATTCAGGTACGAGACGGCCTTGGGACCCGTGTCCATGGCTAATTACTAACGGTGCTACAGGAACTGATGGAGACGGATATGCATAGGGTGATCCGCACACAGGATCTATCTGACGATCACTGCCAGTATTTCATCTACCAGACTCTACGAGCGCTGAAGGCTATGCACTCCGCAAATGTGCTTCACCGAGACTTGAAGCCTAGCAACCTCCTGTTGAACGCTAACTGCGACCTGAAAGTCTGCGACTTCGGACTTGCTCGATCTGCGGCGTCTCAAGAGGACAACTCTGGCTTCATGACGGAATACGTTGCTACTCGATGGTATCGTGCGCCCGAGATTATGTTGACCTTTAAGGAATACACAAAGGCTATTGACGTGTGGTCCGTAGGCTGCATTCTTGCCGAGATGCTGAGCGGGAAGCCCTTATTCCCTGGAAAGGACTGTATGTGGTCAATTACGTCGGAATCAAACGACCTTTTGCTAACAATGCATAGATCACCATCAGTTAACCCTGATCCTGGACGTCCTTGGCACCCCTACCATGGAGGACTACTATGGAATTAAGTCTCGCCGCGCTCGCGAGTACATTCGCTCTCTTCCGTTCAAGAAGAAGGTCCCATTCCGAACTCTCTTCCCCAAGACGTCCGATTTGGCGCTCGACCTACTCGAGAAGTTGTTGGCCTTCAACCCGGTGAAGCGCATCACGGTGGAAGAAGCCTTGAAGCACCCTTACCTCGAACCGTACCACGACCCCGAGGACGAGCCTACCGCACCACCGATTCCTGAGGAGTTCTTCGACTTCGACAAGCACAAGGATAACCTTAGCAAAGAGCAGTTGAAGCAACTCATCTACCAAGAGATTATGCGGTAGAACAGCAGTTTCTTGAGCAAACTCAGGATTCGGGAGAGCATTTCGCAGCTCATGCAGAACCTTAAGATTCGAGATCGCACACCCTCACTGGCGGATTCACGCAAAAAGCATCGCGGTTGAGGGGTGGTGCTTGGTTTTGCATAGCGGGTGGCGGCGGCCTTGGAGAGTAACCGGACGGTGATAAACCTACCTCGTCGAGGATCAGCGTGGAGGAGTAGTTTACCCTAAGATATAACTCGCGAAGGGCAGGTGGAGATCTTATGCCACGAGATCTGGTGTGGGATCTGGCATGACTGTGGAGAGGCCAGATGGATAAGGATATATCTTGTCTTCTCTCCGATTTCTTTTTCTTTACTCTTGTTAGTAGTAAAACAGACGTTTTTTCTGGTACTCTCTTGCCTATAGCTTATCTGCTCATTTGATTATGCGCTGTGCTATTTGTTAGCTGGCCAGGTAAATATCGTTGAGGCTCTGTTGTGATTAATGTAAAGTTGTTGGAGAATATAGACCATCCAACACCGAACATGAATGGGAAGATGAAATAATCAGGCAAAAATATTTAAGAACTTCTCTTTTCATCCAAGTAGTATAAGAAAGAACCCTTAAGTAAAGCCAAGAATGACACGATACGCTTTTTATAAGCTTACGCCTTACGTGATTAGCACCCGGTGTTTTATACCTAGTATAAGCGCCGTAATGTTCTTAAGCTTGATATCGAGTCGGAATATTCATTAACTATAGGTAAACAAACTATAAGGCCAGGCCTTTATCTTTAAGATCAAAGCTTCAGAGGGTTGGGTTGCTAAGTCATACGCTATTCGTTATTTAATAAGTATAGCAAAAAGGGAAGGGTGAGTGGGTGAATAAGCTCATCAATTTAAGTGTGCTGATATTACTCTAGTTAATAATGAATTCATCACATGTTTATGGTATGCTTGGGAAGCGTAAAGACGCCTTGGGTAAATAGACGAGTAAGAATACATATAGATATTCGGATGGCGTATTGTCCCTTCTTTTGGGCCCTTTGCTATTTGATTGTAGGGTTGTTATGTATATACGGGATGCATGGCTTGATTACTAGTATATATTATATACCACAACAAGGAAAATACCTATTAGTATACTACAGCAAAGCTGTAAATGAGCTGGCTACCAATCTGCCTTGGTGCCTCTCTACTTGTCTACCATCCCTACTACCCCTTTGACTCGTCCGCTTTTCCTTACCTTCAAGAGCATCGCCAGTCCACACGCCTGTCCTATATCGTCATGTCCACACAAATGCCACCGGATCTAGTAGGATTTTACGTACGATATCATTCTAGAAAGCTGCTTACCTAGTAAGCATTCTCGATCATCCATCCGACCCTGCCTGATCTTATTAGGAAGAACATCCAAAGCTAGGGCGACCAACCTCTTTCGCCACTTATCCCAAGCCAAAGTCAAAGTTGGTGAGCGGAATTAATGAGATATATTTAGCAATTCCGTCCGTCGACAAAACAAAAAACAACATAAATTAGCAAGGCTTGCTTGCTTGCCTGCCTGCCTGCCTGCCCCTATGGAACCGGAACGCCTATTTGCCCTAGTCATGATCTCGGTGATTTATCTGCTAGGTATTTCCAGCCCCTTTCCCATCCTTGCCTAGTCGGGTCCGGCTCGTTCACCGGTATACCGCACCGCACCGTACTACACCACGACGTGCTTCTTGCCATTATCTTGCTGCTCGTATAAACACTTGCCGTATTTATCATGATGCTTCACGCCCTATCCCAATTCATTCCCATTAGTCGAGTCGAGCCATCCTTGGCTTGATGAAATGTCACACCACACAACCCTCATACCAATAACGAACGCATCAACCACCTACAACCCACATCTCCACACCAAACACATCGAACTTCTCGCCCTCGTCGCTAAGCGGCTGGTTCAAAAACGTATCGCACGGCGCGCTATGGCCGCGGGTCAACCCGTTATCCAGCCACAGGCCGTAGGTACCGCCCCGGCCGCCGCCCACGGACAGGAAGCCCGTCTCGCAGAAGATGCAGTAGTCGTTGGCGCCCGTGTACGCGAAGTTCTGGAAGCGGATGCTCTGCACCGAGGCAGCGGCCCTGCTGGTTTCTAGGTCGGTCGGCGCGGGGGCTAGCTGGCTTGCGGACTGCTGGTCGACGCGCGGGAAGTTGGTGTTGGTGGTCGGGGAGGCTATTGTCGTTGCGCGGAAGTTCATGTTGGATGTGTCGGCGGAGGGGGGCGGGGGGAGAGGCGCGTGGAGGCTTGCGCGCCAGAGGAAGCATTCTCCCGTGCCGAAGTAGGACGGCGCTGGGTGTGGTGCTTCTGTTAGGTATGCGCCGAAGGTCTGTCGCGTGTAGGAGTCAGTTACTCGATCTTCTATGTTTTGTCCCGAGACATATCCTCATGTCGTATTGTCGTCACGACTACAAGTAAATAGACGAATGGTTATAGTCAAGAGAGATAAATAAATACTCACCCCTTCCCTCCCATCCCGCACGACAAGCACGAACCCGACCCTCCGTCCGCGGTACTCCTCGCACCGCTTGTACAGCGTAGCCAACGAGCTGCCATCCTGGTACAAACTATACACCAACCGCCAGTCCTCGATAATCTTCAACCGCTCGGGCAAGAACGTCCTGATCTCCTCCGCCAGCCCGTGCGCCAGCAACCGTTCGTCGGTGCGGGTGTCGGCGCGATAGCCGTGCAGCACCAAGGGCTCGAGAGAAGGAAGCCCGCGCAGAGGCGACGGCGTGCGGCGCATCGGCGGGACGAACGGCCCCGTTATACCGTCGCCCGCGCCTGCGGGCTCCGAATTGGCATTGTATAGCTGCGCGTGGGAGGGCGGCGGTGGGAGGGTCGACGGGAGAGAAGACGAGGGCGACTCGAGGGAGGAGAGGCGGCGCCAGAGGCCGAAGATGATGCCGTAGCCGCTGCCGGAGGAGGAGGGGCCCCGGGGCGGAGGAGATTGCGGCTTGGACTCGGGGAACGTGTGGGCGTGGGTGTGGATGTGGGTGTGAGTGTGGGCGTGGGACTGGGAGCGGCCGGATACGGGGGTAGAGGGGCCGGAGGACGGCGGCGAGAGGTCTATTAAGTTGGTATCTTGTCGGTTGATGCTCATGGTCGGTAGTTTGAATTTGGGTCTCGTGGGGAATGCGCGTGAGTGAGTGATGGTGTGCCGGTCTAGTTTCCAGGTAATAAATGTAGCCTAAGCTTTAGGTGAGCTTTAGGTGAGCTTTAGGTGAGCTTTGGGTGATTTCCGATAGCAGTTAAACAGCTCAACAGCTAAAAAGTTGGAGAAGTGGATTATAGGTAGCTTCTCTTCTGGGTTCGTCTTAGGGAAGGTTGCTCCAAATTAACCAGCCTACCTCTCCTCAGGCAAGGGTAGTTCAGCAGTGGAATCATGAATGTGACGTAGCGTGACGATGGCAGTTGGTGGGTGGGTGGGTAGGTGGGTTTATTTTGGTTTTTTATTTTGGTTTTTTTAATTTTGTTTCAGACGCCTGTTGTTATTTTAGTTGCCTGTAGTGGGGGAGTGTTGCAGCGGTGCACTACGTCGTCGTATTGGCTGAGGTGGAATTGCAGATGTGTTATCGGGGAACGGTAATATTGAAGATGTCAACTATAAGTTTATGAGTTTGAATGTTTGATAGTTAAGGAAGAAGGAACAATACTTATGTTATTAATAATAGTTGAAATAGCAGGAAGGAAAAAAGTAGATGAAATTGGGAAAGCCTGAGTAATGATTATGCACATTTATATACATGTAGGTTACATATGTACCTAGGGTAGGTATGTACATGTACTTTAGGTAATACAACCTACCTAGGTATATGGACGTATAATAATATGAGGTAGATATTACATCTTATGTACTTTTAAATGTGTACTTGCGAATACTTATCAAACTATTATTAAACTCGTACTACTTAGGGGTCTTAAGGGTCTTGTAACTCTGTTTGTTTCTTGGAAACTTATTATTTGACAACTTCAACAGATTCCTCGTCGGAGCTTACATCTATTACGGTCTGCGTGTGTCTGTGAACCGTCATCTGGGTTACTATAGTTTAGCTATAGTTTATACTATTACTTTAGTTATACTCTTATCGTGGTCAATGCGATTAGCATCGATATTAGCCCGGTTATACCCGTAATCGTCGCACGAGATTCGTAAGGCTGCACAACATACCAAGTACACCGCCATGTACATCATTCATTCTGTCCTATCATCAAGATGCTATATCAAGATGCTATTTAACTAGGCTTATTTTCAAGTCGTTTCATATATGATTTCGATATCCATGTATGGAGTAGGCTACACGTAATATACTATACGTATATGTCCAACTCCAAGCTGTCCCATCACCTTACCTTAGATCATCTATATATTTTTACCATAATGTCCAGTATGCCTTGCCGTACTCCTTCCGGAGTAGGTTCCTTAGCACACACTTTAGGCTCATAATGAAACGTCTTTTTGAGATAATTCGCCGTCGTTGGCCCGATCGTCGCGATCGAGGTTGGTGGCTTCACCCCGCCCGCCTTTTCAATGGCCTTACCCGTCTCCTGGTCGAGTAAGTCCAATCCCTTCAACATGCTGTCGCAACCCGTTGGTGAGAAAACTACCACCCATCGTTCCGGTCGGCTTGCTGTCCTCTGCAGTACGTCCGCAAAGTCACTAGCAAATGACTCCATAACACCAGTGCCGTATAGCACTATCTCTGTTACTTCGATCCGTTGATCATCCGGTAGAGTCTCGTCCATCAGCGTCTTTGGTATAATGTCCCGTCTCTGCTCTCCTACTAGGAAGAGTAGCGGAGGCTTGGTGGGACGGTCTTTGTACCATTCGCCGTAGTGGTCCAATATGAACCGTGCGAGCGCATCGCCATTTCCAGTATGCTCACCAAAGATCTGGAGCAGGGGCGTCTGGGGAATGGCCTTAAGTGCTCGGGTCGTAGCAGGGCCCACGCTATAGACTGGTATGTCTTGGAGGTGCGGCCAAGTCTGATCACCTATTTAATTCCTACGAGTCAGAGACTAGGACGCCGCTGATCACGTGAGGGGCCTCGGACCTTTGCCCTCGTCAACTAACTTGGCGAATGCCTCGACTGCTCTCTGTGAGGTAAAGATGAGGCCGCCGTAAGCGCTATCGGCGCTACGGTTTATCCTCCTCTCCCGCAGCAACTTTTCGAATTGTTGCATACCGTCATCTTCAAACCTGTGCTGAAGGACAGGAACAAAGATGGGCTCAAAAGAAGGAGAACCTTCGCTGGGGATAGAAAAGATGTCTTCGTATGCATCGGTCGGCGATGACTTCGTCTTAAGGAGCAGCACAGGAACTTTATCCGGGTTTGAGGCCGTTGAGGCCGAATCTGAAGCCATAAGAGCTAGGCAATATAAATAATAATGGTTAGAAAAGCATTGATTACCTAGGTTAGGTACCTAACCTACGTCTTTACCATCCGAGCTTATCAAAGTCGGTTCGTTTTAGTAATCAGAACCTTCTACTTCGTAGCGCCTAGGTAGGTTCCACAAGACTTTCCAGCTTTTATCGATAAAAGGGTTTCACCCATTACCTAAGGTGGACCCCCCCTTCTTCGGCCCGTGTTTAGTAAGTGGCGTTACCGGCCGGTGCCGGGGCTCGCTTTCCGCCGAGCTTCTGACAAATCCGCTTCAGCTTAATTTGTTTTTCCTGCTAACACCTTTCGATGCTGTCGCAAACTATCATGAGCTTTCCTGCCGGTTTCTCTTTTCTTCTGCGCTCATTCTAGACCGGTCGTACTAGTTAGTAGAATGGCTGCTGACACGAGAGATCCGCAGCCCAACGAGCTGCCCAAGGGATTCGTCATAGGAAAAGATGGCAAGCCGTGAGTACCTGTTAGCATTACCACGAATGGCCGTGGCTGCATCGTTTTGGCTGAATTGTTTTGGCCACCCACTAACATGAGCATATTTCTGCAGTTGTCGATCATGCACTTCGAAGAAGGATTTCTCTACGTGGGCACAGATGACCAAATCCTCTCTCAAGTCTGGTAGTAATGCTGCGACAGGCGCTGCTGTTGGTGCTGGAGCTGGCGCGGGCGTGGTGGCCACCTCTACGTCTTCGTCGCCGCATCCTACTCCGGATGATTGTCCAGCCGACGTAGAGACGCTGGGCCGAAGCACGTGGACCTTATTGCATTCCATTGCCGCAACGTATCCTAAGACACCAAGCGCCGCTCAGCAGTCCGACCTTCGGACATTCATGGGAGTCTTCTCAAGACTGTATCCGTGCTGGGTATGTGCCGAGGATTTCCAGCGGTACATAGAGAAAGACCATGTCCAGGTTGGCAGCCGCGACGAGTTCGGAAAGTGGCTGTGCGAAGCGCATAATGCCGTCAATGTCAAGTTAGGCAAGGAGGAATTCGACTGTTCTAAGTGGGAGGAGAGATGGCGGACCGGCTGGAAAGACGGGCGCTGCGACTGAGTTGAGATTCTCTTCCGGAGAAACTTACAATTATTAATTCGCGATGCTATCCTTTGGCCGAGGTCTAACCCGGTTTTGATTATTAAGGTCTGGAAGCCAATTTGCGAGGGAAAATTGCGAGGGAATTTACTCGACCTTGTATTATCAATGTACAAATACCTATGTACAATACCCATGTCACGATAGACGGATGACTGAATGAAAGCGAGCATCGCGTTCTCGAATTAAAAGATAGACAGCTTCACTTCTCAAGAGAGCATCGGTCAACTCCAGCTGCATAATACCAGCGAGATTCAATTTTGAAGAGTGAAGAATACCTAATGCATGTCTTATCATTATCAAGAAAGATCGGCAATTATGATGAGCAGTAAATGCTACTGGGCCGTTCCAGACCGGCGGCCAGGCTAGCCGGGGCTCGTCGAAAGAAAACCGGGTTCGGCCGATTGGTTTTATTATTAGAGAAATGGATCCTTTTTACTAGGTTAGGTTAATATGGTCGTACAATGAGCTGAGCGAGGTAAGTCGATAATGGATAATGATTGAATTATATCGTCGTGTAATCTTAAGGTCTTCAGGTCTTAAGAAAAAGTCAATGCAAGATGAGACTTGGAGTTTGTATGTATTCATAACGAATTCACATGTATATTCCCTTGACCGACAAACCGAAAGAAAAAAAAAGAGAGAGGACAAATCAAGCAGAAAAACTCGATATCCATTGCATCATCGCCTGATTATCGCGAGACGCCGAAGATGCACCATGATCCACTGTAACAAGGCCCGATATGTCAAGAACAGGCGACGCAGACAACCGCCGTACGATTCCTAGCTCAACTCCTTTTTCGACCTTCGTATCCTGCATTGCGACAACAGGAGAGGCTGAGACTTTTAATATATAACTGAAGTCCTATCCTGAGGCTAACCAAGAAATTTCTCTTTATTCTACTCATACTAAATCGTATCCGACTAACAACAACCAACAACATCAACCTTATAGAGTGAGTGTAGTGTATTCCTAAGCTTCCGAGACATTGCTTACACTACATCTCAACCGACATATACTCCTATTTGCCCCTCAACTTATATACATTATATAGTCTTAACACTTATACGACACTTATACGACACTTCTACGCCACTTACACTTACACTTACACTTAACTATACTTACACACAACAACTTGTCAGATTTAATCGCAACAACAGCAACAACAACACTTTATCAACTCTTAAAACAGAGAGAAAAAAAAGTGAAGACCATCACGATGACTAGCGAGGATATCAGAACGAAAAATCTGAAAAAGCCCGTTGACGTGGCTGAGTACCTCTTCACGAGGCTCTACCAGCTCGGAATCAGATCTGTCCACGGACTTCCAGGCGACTTCAACCTTGTCGCCCTTGACTATCTGCCCAAGGCCGGGCTTAAATGGGTCGGCAACTGCAATGAGCTGAATGCCGCGTACGCCGCCGACGGTTACGCCCGTGTGAAGGGCATCAGCGCTATTGTCACCACTTTTGGCGTAGGCGAGCTGTCCGCTGTTAACGGTATCGCCGGCGCCTATAGCGAGCACGTTCCCATCGTTCACATCGTCGGGTGTCCGTCTACCGTTTCCCAGCGCAGCGGTCTACTGCTGCACCACACCCTAGGAAATGGCAATTTCAACGCCTTCGCTGACATGAGCGCTTCCATCTCTTGCGCCGTCGCTAAACTCAACGATCCGGCCGAGATCGCCGGTCAGATCGACCATACCCTGCGAGAATGTTACTTGCAATCTCGCCCTGTTTACATCATGTTCCCCACCGATATGGTTGAGAAGAAGATCGAGGGCGCGCGTCTCGAGACTGAAATCGACCTGACCGAACCTGCTAACGACCCGGACCGGGAAGACTACGTCGTGGATGTCATTCTCAGGTATCTACACGCCGCCGAGCGACCTGTCATCCTCGTCGACGCTTGTGCCATCCGTCACCGTGTCCTCGACGAGGTCCACGAACTTATCGAGAAGACTCAGTTACCCGTATTCGTCACTCCCATGGGCAAGAGTGGCATAAATGAGACGCATCCCAGTTACGGCGGTGTCTATGCAGGATCTGCCTCTGCCCCGGCCGTCAAGGAAATGGTCGAGGGTTCTGACCTCGTCATCTCTGTCGGCGCGCTTAAGAGCGATTTCAACACTGCCGGATTTTCTTACCGTTTGTCTCAGCTGATGTCCATCGACCTGCACAGCGACCACTGCATCGTGCGATACTCCGAGTACCCCGGCATGCGGATGAAGGGCGTCCTGCGCAAGATCGTCGACCGCCTCGACGTAGCACAAATCACGGTCCTCCCGGCACCCAAGTTCGAGTCCCCTCCGGTGACGCCCGACGTCAACGCCGTCATTAAGCAAGAATTCTTCTGGTCGCGCATCGACCGGTTCCTACGGGAAGGCGACATCGTCGTCACAGAAACCGGCACTGCCAACTTCGGCGTGTGGGAAACGCGGTTCCCGGCCGACATAACAGCGCTCAACCAGACGTTCTGGGGCAGCATCGGCTGGGCGGTCGGCGCGTGCCAAGGCGCCGCGCTAGCGACCCAAGATATCGAGGGCATAGACAAGGCTCGACGAACAATCCTATTCGAAGGCGACGGCAGCCTGCAGCTCACGGTACAAGAGATCAGCACCATGATCCGACACCGGCTGAACGTGATCCTGTTCGTGATCTGCAACGACGGGTACACGATCGAGCGGTTCATCCACGGGATGGACGCGTCGTACAACGACATCGTCGAGTGGCGGTACAAGGACCTCCCGGCCGTGTTCGGCGGCACCGAGGAGACGGCGCGGTCGTACGCGGTGCGCACGCGCGGCGAGCTCGAGAGCCTGCTTGCCGACAAGGACTTCAACGAGTGGAAGGGGCTGCGGCTCGTCGAGCTGTACATGCCGCGCGAGGACGCGCCCAAGAGTCTGATGCTGACGGCGGAGGCTAGCGCGAAGAGGAATGCTATGACGGAGTGATGTGGTGGAGATGGATGTGTGAGAGAAAAAAAAAAAAAAAAAAAAGGGGGGGGAGGGGGGGCTACGCTGTTCATGTTTCACGGGTGTTTATGACTTCATGTATGTATGAGATATGATTTTTGGGTGTATGTGGACAGGGTCGGCTTATTAGTATCGAGTTAGACGTTCCTATGTGTGGACTTGGGGTTCGGTAATATCTCCTTTCTACTTAGACACGACGCAATAGAATCGTATTGATCATTAGGTCCGGCATCCGAGGATGACTCACTGTACAGATTGCTTGAAACATCATATATGCCCCTAGACAGGACACGTGGGAATGCAACCGCCAATGACGCATGTATTAGTTGACGTTAAATCTAGCCGGCTTAAAGTCTGTCTAGAAAAAGCTGACTGGCAACCTTAGTAGCATTTATTAGGTAGGTAGGTATGCCACTGTGGTTAAACCAAATGGTCCGACTTCAGGTTTTTCCTTGGGCACTGCTGGGCGCTGAGGGTGATTCCATCTCCGTTATAAGAAAGCTTGTTCGACGGTTTTTCCTCTGATCAAAAGTCGGCTACCTGGCGTCAGCGTTAACTAGGTAAAGTAATGCTATAGGTAGGTTAGGGCTAGGGATAGGAAGTGGAAAATCTCTTATGTCAGGCGAAAATCTAGCTCTATCTCTTCCTATAAAGGAGGAGGTACTCTAGACGTCTAAAGCGCCATAGATGCGCCTGCTGTAGCTACCTAGCTTATAGCCACCAATAGACGTTAACGTTCTCATCATCATCATCATCATCATCAGGTCTTCTATATCCTCTTCGTAAGACGAATTCTTATCGCAAATCGCCAAATTATAGCTTTGAAACGGGCTAGCTGCTTGAGATTGTTGAATGTTGTTTTTCCATTGGAATCTCGCTCCAAAACCCCCTGACCGTGATCTACGTGTAAGCGGAGCGATCGAACAAGGTCAACAACCTGATCTAATTTGTCGTGTACTTGTAGAGCCTGTAATTGTGTAGCTTCTTGAAGTTGAAAATGTTCCCGTCGTTGCTCTAGTTCTAGGTTAGAATGCATCGAATTGTTTAATTCGGAAAACCTGGCCAGCAGTTTTTCGAATTTGGTTGCGTCGAATACGACCCAACGGAGTCTCGTAGGATACTTCAGCAGCGTATCTGCGTATTCAATAGTCTTCCGGCGTAGCTTCTCCTTCCTGCCCATCATTTCTAGCGACTATGAACACACGCGCTTCGCTTAAACGAAATTAAAGAATGCGTTTTATAAACTTACATTAAATGGATCCAACCCCATTGGGTTCAGGGCAGGCTCTCCTCGATCATCGTCAACTTTCAAGGCGAGGTTGTATCTTTCCTTGATTAGGCAGATCTCAAGGGTCAAAGCTCTGATTTGGGTTAAAGTCTCGACGGTGGCCTGCCGTTTTCCATCCAGCTGAGTACCTTGGGTTGTGTTGTTGAATCAACCGTGAAGCCGGATGCGTGCCACCAGTCTAGTAGCTTAAGCTGTTAAAGGTGGAGGCGATGCCAAAGATATCCATATTTTTACGGAAAGTCATTGGCTTCCAATAGAAGCTGGCAGCCTTTCATGCAGCCGGCAAAAACTTGGAATATTAGGGAGACAGTCCCCAATGCAGTTCCAGGGTCCATGGCTCTTTACTCCCAAGCCGTAACTGTGCTTAATAAAATATATAATACAGAATATTCAAGATTAGTACCACGAAGGTTGATGAGAAGACATATGGCTTTATTGACGGATGTTGGGCTGCAAATTTAAGGTTGCAGGCATTTATGCCTTAGGCCTAGCATGCATGTAATATTGATATATATATTGATATCACATAAAAGGATCAACAAATGAATCGCTATGGTTGAGATACATTGGTTAGGCTGTGACACCCAGTACGAAGTACATATTGAATATTATATGTTTCTTTACTTAGTCCCAACTCATACTATCTTCAGTTATTAATGCAACCCTTCGTATATAGGTACCTATATACTAGGTATTAGGTAGCAAGGAAAAGAATCGGGCATCCACGAAGGGAAAAATTCGACACCAAGATATTATCTCTGGCCCCGAGCCTGGAAGTAAGTAGAAAGCTGGTCATATCAAAGTAAAATAAATCAAATACTATTATGTGGATATGTTATGGCCCTTAATCGTGATATCTGTACTTAAAAAAGCAGAGCGACTCTGGTATTGTATGAAAGCCTACCTCCTAAGCAGTCTACCCTATGTATAATTACCTCTCTATTTAAATTCCGTTCACACTAGGATACGATCACCTAACGGTGTATGGAAGGTTAAGTTTATAAGGTCATCTACATAAGGAGTTAGCTATGGTATCTCACATTAGTGTTGATAGTACTACTGTTTAATTTGGCGAGGTCACTAGGACGATTATTGTAACAGTTTGTCACATTCATGCTGCAGAGACATATGTATTCTAAAAAGCAGGCTGTCTAGCACCATACCAACGGCTCAATGGTAACATGTGATGAATTCAAATAAAGTAAGTACACAAAACCCCAAGGTTCAACCCCAGGAGTGAGAAAAATTCGATATTTGTGTAGGGATGATTAAAAGGCATGCAAACTGACCAAGGATTTAACAACAACTCCCTGATGTCAATATTGATTAGCCATAGTTCTCTTCTAACCTACTATAATTTATCATATAATTTCACCTTCACTGACAGGTGAAGAATGTGCTAACAAGTTATCCATAAGATCCTCACTTTTTTATTATCTTAGTCCTCCCTATTATAGCCCATTTCTTGTCTGGGTCTTTCTTATCCATCTTTTCTGAGGTGTTGTCAAGTTTTTAAATTGTTCTTTTTTTAGCAATGATCCACATACTTTCAAAATTCTGTTACATCTCACCTTTAGAGAAAATCAAAAGATAATCAAGCAAAATTTGCTCCAAGTGTAGGGGGTTTTGTGAAGGCAAAGGATATCACGTGCTTTCTACTGCATATTGCATAAGAGATAAGTATTCACTTACTAAGCATATCATGGAATCTTCTCAAAGATGCTCGCATCCAACACTGCCTTCTTCATCTTCATTACTTCAACCATACACTAGGTAACCTTTCACAGCCACGCACCCTTTTTGCGTATTCTTTCGGATGAATCCATTGACCAAAATACTTGCCTGTCTATTACATACATACTGACAGTTCCTCTTGTCCCCCCCAAAAATAAGACCACATTTATCTAGCAACATTTGTCAAAGTTGCTACAAACGGCCTAAAAACGAAGCCGACGAGATCTCATAACAACTACACATAAAAGCTGATATGGGCGGGGAAAACCTACACCACATCAACTCGCTCGCCGAGCTGCAGTCGCTATTCGCGTCAACCACATACGTAGCCGTTGACTTCTACGCGGACTGGTGCGGGCCGTGCAAGGTCATCGCGCCGCATTACGAATCGCTTGCCAAGCAGCACGGCGCCCCGGGGTTCCTTGCTTTCGCCAAGGTGAACGTGGACACCGCTCAGGATGCCGCGCGCGCGTTCGGTGTTACCGCCATGCCGACCTTTCTCTTCTTCAAGGAGGGCCGCCAAGTCGCTGTAAACGGACAGGCTGCGATTCGTGGCGCCGACCCTCGCGCTCTCGCTGCAGCTGCCGAGAAGCTGGGTGGCTTGGCGAAGAAGCGCATGGCGGAATCTTAAAGGCTGAGGTGTATTCGGGATGAGATAGCATTGTAGGAAGGATAGGGCTGGACAGTGATGAGGTATTTACCCGGTCGAATAGACTCGCCAGGCGAGAATGTTGACTAATACTTCAACTAGATACGGGCGTTATAGGGTTATAGTTCAATAAAGAGCGCATCGCATTGATCATAAGCATTTCGCCTATTGTATGATGTGACAATAGACCTGCTTTTATTAAGAATGTGACCGTCTTTTTAAACACCACTTAGTTTGTCTTCTATACCAGCCCCATTCCCCCAGAAAACGTACCTAGTAAAAAGATATATCCGGAAATAAATGATATCAAGAATAGACATCATGTCATTCTACCACAGTAGAAGAAGCCTTAGACTTTTCCCGGACCACCCAAGTATCCATCCGTTCATCGAAGAAAATAGTTATTATAGTAGCCAATTAATAGTCAATAATTCACAGTGCTCCTCCAAAAAGAAAAAGCTTTCAAAGTATCGGTGGTAACTATTATGTTCATATCTTTGAACAATCTGGAAGAAAAGGGGAAAGAGTAAAAAGGGGAGAAAAAAATAGCCTGGGTGGGATTTGAACCCACGTCTTTCCAACCTCGACCTCTCATCTGGTATTTTATCCAGAAGCGCGTAATGATGGAATATGCTTCCACTGTACCACCGGGCTTTTTGTGATGGGAGACTTGAAGTTTGGGGTCATATGTCATCACCTAGGCTGCCGCAGATGCCATGCTCATGTGACTCGTCCAGTTAGGCATGCAAGCCCTGGTGTGTTATGCTGCCTAGATGAATCTATTTTAGTTACAGTACTTAAAGCACTTCTATATGCTTGAAATACTGCATAGGTTAGGTACCTAGGTAGGTATCTATAGGTACTTACCTACCTATCCTATTTCTTAGTATTTTGAGTACTTATAGCCAAGTCGTCCTATTAGACTCTATTTTGTCCTCTACCTCGCACAGCTCATCTTAGAAAAGCCATTATGGTACTTCATCTTTCCCCGCTCTTCATATAATATGAGTGATTGTACCAATGGACCAGTTCATTTGCCTAACCTAGGCACCTAGGTACTATTAGTTATCTCTTCTTATTCCCGAGGTTCGACCTCGCCGAGAATCTTTACGAGAAGCAGTAGTACTAGTCCTGCTTATAGACGTTAAGATATCAGTTTAACGTCACCGAGAAAAGATTGTATGCTAAACTACAATCTTATAGACATCGCTGTTGGGTACCTGACCTATTAATAAGATATCCCTGTTCTGGATATAGCCAACCTTGACAGCCCCACATGAGAAGTTGGAGATGATGACGGCACCGATGCTTGGATGACAGGTGGTCAAAGTGAGATTGAGGCTCTTAATTGGGCTTTACTCACGAACTTAATAGATACCTGATATAATTAATTGCCAACGCCGCACCCACGCCGTATGGCTAGCTCCAACATGGGGATTAACTAATGGTGCGTTGCATTATACATCAATGATAGTGGGTCTTAAGGCTGTAAGGGTGGCATGCAACGATGCCACGTGCCGAGGTGAAGTAGACCGATCGATCCAGGGAATAGGAACCAACAGCCCTTTTTTAGGATCGTGCATCCTTGACCTTGTTTTAAGCCGCACCAACTACCTAGTCAAAGCGACTAACCCTAACAGATAAGCTTTATCAGATCTCATGTATGAAAGCTAGCGTGGCGTGGAGTGGCGTTGTGATATAATCACACCCCCGTCCTAATGCTGGTCGTGCATTTCGACAAATAATATTTAACCTAAGGGTTTTTACTTATAACGCCTATAATAGCCAGTACGCTGATGGTGGCTAAAGTATTTACAAAATATAGACATGGGTGATAGTTTCTATAATCTATAACCAACAGGTATCTATCGTTGTGGTGTTCTTTAGTCTTTAGTGTTGTTGGCTTTGTACCTCTATTAGGTGGCGAATGAGTTGTTGTCTAATAAAAAGGCACTGTGCGGCTTTACCAATGAACTGCTCCAACAACTTATATAATTAACTAACTTTAGGTTGTTACTTTGTTTGTTCGGGAATCGTCTCCTAAAATTTAGCCTCTGGGGAAGATGGTGTATGTTTCAAGGCTTGCTTTTCTAGGGACAGCATGGCCGAGGAGGTGTAGACCTTGATACCTAACCCCTGGATAGGAGGGCTGAATTATTATTCGGATTAAAATAGGTAACTAAAAACAATAGATTAGGTAATTTGATATAATGCTATCTAAGGTGATAGTTATATTTAGGTATCTAAGGTATACACATATACAAGTTGGTTGGCTGGTTGCTTGCTTGGAGAGGTCCTCATGCATCTATATATAGCCTTTTATAAATTGGAATTTATCGATCCGGACTTTGCACTCCATCGAAAGTAATTAATATAAATATTTGGGCAAGACCGTTTCGTGTCGGGAGATATTCACCACTAGGAGATTTAACAGTCATGACTTTTATTGCTCCATATCCACACAAATATCAAATAGTCTCACTCAAGGACACCGTATTGAATCACCGGACAAGCACGTTGGCTCACGGTCATCCCAGCGCTTGTTTATGCTTGCTAGTCGGCTTCCCGGCTTCGTCGTACTAACAACAAATCCCGACGTTGCTATACGGCCGGGTGCGTAAGCCATGCATGGATAACTGTTCCATTGGCACTTAATGATCAACATATTCATGCGCTGCTCAGGGTTCAACCTTGATAATTATTTCTCACGGCCGCAGGTTGGTCACGCCCCATTCTTGGTGCTACTCGGAGGCTTGGCCAACGAGTAATTTTATATAAGTCGACGTCAGACCAACAACTGTTTCTAAACTTGACCTTTAGGCTTAAGCTCCAATACGAGGGTAGCTAACCTGATGACTGGTAACAGCTTTATCAACGCTCCTGGAACCCCCTCCCCCCTTTATACTTTCAAGATGTGGCATTTAATCTTTACATCGTTCATGTCATGTTTCATAAGTCACAATCAAAACTTCATTGCTTCGTTTCAGTTCGCTCAGCAACCAATCCGATTGATTAACGAAATCCCATCCACCATTTGATCGCGAGGTCAAGTGTCTAACCAGAGTACAAAAAGATAAAAACCATCCGCCCTCATACCCCGAATACAAAAAGATATTACACTATGTGAATCACACATGCCGTCTAATTAGAAAGCTGTAAAGATCAACCCCACCCAAGTCTCCCATTTTATGTATTCCGACACCATAGCCGCCCCCATCCCCGGTCATCAAGGAGGCAACAGCCCTGTCGTAAGACATTTCGTGGTATAAAAGTGAACGAAAGGAAAAAGTAAATGTTGGAGCCTTATTCTGATGGGGTCAGGCGGCATTGTACACCATTGTTGAGCGTCAATGATAACGTCAGCTGCTCTCTCCAGTCGGTCGGGTCTAGGCTCTCGATCCTGGAGAATGCGTGGAGTAAGCGCGCGATCGTGTATGATGACTCAGTCAAGGCGAACTTCTGGCCCGGGCAGATCCTAGGCCCTCCATTAAAGGGTAAGAATTCCCAACCGGGGCGAAGATTCTCCCATCTCTCGGGTCGGAACTCTTCGGCATCTTCACCAAAGAATTCCTTTCGTCTGTGCATCACAAAGGTGCTATAGGTGACAACGTGGTGCTTGGCAACGAAAAGGGGCGATTTTCCATCAGGGCCACCACCGACAGGGAGAACGGTGTCCTTGTTAGCCATGCGGCTGTTTGTCGCGATGGGCGGGAAAAGACGGAGTGCTGAAGCGACAATGTTAGCTCATGCAAAAACAGATGGATTGATCAACGCTTACTCTCGTGTATCACATATCGAAGGTACTTCATGTCCATAAGGGCTTCGTACGTCAAAGGTTCGCAGTAGTGTTCCAAAACGTCAGCCCGGAGCTTATCCCATACGTCAGGCCTTCGGGCTAACATGAAGAAGACAAAAGCGAGTAAACCAGCAGTGGTGTCACGGGCGGCTAAGAGCATGTTCACGATCTGGTCCCGGAGCATGATTGGATCCTCGGTGTCCTTGGCGAGCTCGTTCAAGAAGACATATTTTTGGCGAACTCCTTCGTCCTTGTCCCTTTTCTCAGACGGAAGCATGGATTGCTTACGTCGGTATTCAAGAGCTTGCGCAACGAACTTGTCAGCATACGCGTGGACAGTACCGCAGGAGTCCCGGAACTTCTTGTCCCTGTGGGTGAACATGAGATTTCCGAGGCGTAGACGTAAGATAGTACCCTGCTGAGCGTAATCAAGCGCGTGGTGAAACATGGTGGCAGCTTCAGATGCATTCTCTGACATCAGACCAACGGACTCTCCGAACATGTATTCACTGTTGGAGTCGAGTACCTATCAAGCGGCGTCAGTTACCGAATATGGAAAAGAGAGTATGGCGAGCCCACGTACCATGCGGAAGAATAGCTGCTGGAGGTCTACCTCATAATTACGGCGTGCAATGAGAGCGATGAGCTGATCTACATGATGGCCGAATATGCTGAAGTCCGTAACTTGGGCTCGAACGAAGCTTGGCCGGATCAGAGCACGCTGGTGAGCCCAGATCTCGTCGTCCGTGGTGAAGATACCTCGCCCCAAGAGTGGAGCAGCACTTTTCCGTCGTAATGGTCCCATGCCGAAGTCTTGGAACTGGAAGGACAAAACATTCTGGATGAGCGTTGGGTCGCAAGTGTTGATGGTGGTTCGCAAGTAGGTGTTCGTGGTGAAGGTGAGGCCATTGGCGGCATGTCGAGTCCTGAGGAGGTCGAGGAAGCCGTGCTTGTTTGCTGCCCCGAGGTTCTGCATGACGACGTCAGTCCCCATGACGGGGTCTAGCTGAGGCAGCTTCTTGGGAGGCAGACAACCGTTCTGTCTCTTCATATGACTTCGACGTCGACATGTTAAAAGCCACTGGACTATCGAGAACAGAGAGAAGACGATGAGGCCGAAGGCAGCTAGGAGCAACGAGAAAGCCATGACGAACTGCTGCTGCTGGAGAGATAGGAATACAGATACTATCTGTTGCATGTCACACTGCAGGAGGAGAAAGATGGGGAGCGGAGTAGGCAGCGAGCTTACTTATACTCTCGGGGGCGTCTGGCCAGTGCTGCTGGTTGGACCCAGACCGTGACAAATGAGGGAGGACATGCTCGTCTATTCAAAGCCCGATGATGCCCAGCGTCGAGGCTTTTCATACGAGTACTCTTTGGGGCGGCAAGGGGATCCATAAGCCATCTTGGCCACCGATACGCACGCATATTCAATCGTCCACGGGTTTTGTTAGCCAGATTATCAACTCGGTAGAAACTTTTCTCTTTAACCAATCAGGCAATTGTCCATAAAGGGTGCATCCAATCAGCTTGCCCCGCAACAACCTCGTCACTGGCATGGCATGCCCAATGGAATGCTTGTCACAAGGGATAAATGCACAGGCGGTACAAGTGTATGTTCTGGGAAAGTACCGTTGCCGGCCGGAGAAGGGAGAAGCGATGAAGAAATCTCTCCTCCTCCCCACCCTTTCTGACCATTTCTGGAACAGGCCATCGGTCTCACGGCTGATGGGGAAAGAAGGAAAAAAAAAAGAAATGTCATAGCTTTCCTGGACGATAATGGGGCTGATATTGTCAGTCTCGAGAGGTAGCGAGCGCGCCCAGGACGCCAGCAAGTCTGTGAGTATAAATTTCATTAACTATACGAGTCACTAGAGTCACTAGAGTCGCTACCGTTAGTTAGTACGTCATGTTCATGTGCTCTTTCTTGCTGCTTATGTGTCTACGTAAGACTGGGCGGGTGTCATATTTCCTGGTTATTGGGGTGATCGATGGGTCTTCTTGCATTTGCAGTTATCGCCAGTTGGGCTGAGCGTTGATCTACCCAGAGACGAATTCGGCGACCTGTGTCCGACTCAGCCCCGGACCCTATGTTCGCCCCGTTGTCGGGTTTTTATCTCGAATCTTCGCAGGATAAAAGGCTCAACGTCAACAGGGTTTAAATCATATCGGTGTCACCATTCTTCTGTTCTGGACAAGGGGCATAATCCTCCATACAGGCGAGGCGTGCCGTGGATCTAGTAGGAGCTTTCCTAATGGGAACATGTCGTAATAAGGAGTAAGGAGTAAGGAGTGTTTTCGTGATCTTGCGAAGCTCTCTATCGACCTCCACGACATAATAAGGCGGCTGAAGCTCGAAATGTCCGAGACCACGTGGCTTTCTGCTGAAGAAAGGGAGATCTCGTTGGGATATGCACACATACCTAGACCTTCAGCGATACCGTCCACTTGGCACGATAGGTACTCTCACTCCCGTACTGAAAATAACAACGACTAGGGGTGTACAATACATACCACGCGAGGCTAAGCTAGTTAAGGCCTAGAGACGCCACGGTCTGGGGGGTGGTTACCGAGAGCTCGGAGAGAGACCAAGGTGAAGCTAGTGGGCCCCATTGAAGAGTCGGCAGTAATTCAACGATAATAGGCGGCGTTCCCGGATGCGAGTCAGCAAAAGGGGGGCGCGGAAAAAGGAAAAAGGAAAATAAAAGATTGGGAAAAATTATTGATCTGGATTTTCTTCATGGGCTGGTTCCAATCGAGAGGTCAAGGAGGTCAAGATCAGCGAATGGCTCGAGAATCCACTGAAAGAAGCGGTATGTTGCATTGAACTGCTCACCATTCCGCTGTTACAACCCGAACTCTCTCGTCGATGTTAACTTCCCTGGCCTCTAAAGTAGGCACAGTTGTCAAGTTGGAGGGGGTGAACGGTGGAGTTGACAAGGATATATAGAGCCCACGCAGGGGACTTCAGGGTTCTGACAGGGCCTTCGGCTGAACCTGCAGCTTTCCCCATTCTTAGCTTAATATCCTATAGGGTGTTCCAAGGGACGGCATGGGACTGCCGGAATTCCTACTACTACACTAAACTGCGAGACTGCGACGATTCACAACGGCACGCACGCATACTTACACTTACAGCACACTTACAGCACACCAGAAGGATGCTACTTTTGCTTCGTAACCGCTTCGTAACTTTTATGCCACACTTTGCTTCCACCACTTGCTAGGCGGATTTCCCCAATCACCCCTGCATTTCTGACAGGTTGGGTTCTTTAGCGATAATAGAGTTGCAGAGGGCGGCAAGGGTTTCATGATGTGCTGATGTGCTGATGTGCTGATATGCTGATATGCTGATATGTTGATGTGCTGATGTGCTGGTACCTCTGGTATAGATGTCTAGGTACAATACATACAATACCTACCTAGATATGAGGCCGTCACCGTAATAGGAAAGCTTCTAGCGCCTTCATTGGAACACACGAAGAAGCAAATGAGAGTGGATCGACCGTGAAAGCGACCCGATTCCGAAGCCATGGGAAATAAATATAGTTTCTGGTGTGGATTTTCAACCAACAGTATCTCGAGTGGGCTTCAGGGCGTCCAATTACGCCAGCCAAAATAAGACAGTCTAATTCCAGCGAGATGGTTGTTGGGTCTCTTGGGACGCCACCATCTCTCCCGAAAGCCTGGCTGAAAGACCCAAGCATTCTCTCCACTTCGAACCGGTAGAATAGGAACTCGTGTGTAGGTACATACAACGTGGCTGTGACTTACATATGGTCATAAATACGGCTGAAGACATTTGAATGTCCCAACCGCATCTTGAATCCTGAATGAAATTCTCCACGAGCATCTGCCCTGATCTACCCATACAGCCCGTACAACTCGTACAGCCCGTACAGTCATAGCCCAGTACCCATCACAGCTTATCCACTGTATTACGAAGACCCAAATTTTTCTTTTCACGATGACTACAATCAAGAATGTTGCCGTTGTAGGGGTCTGTTAACTCCACTATTGCCATTTGTCCGAAATAGGTGCTGACTTGTTTGATTAGGCAGCTGGGAAGATCGGCCGCCCAATCGTGGATCGTCTTCTATCTTCGAAACTCTTCAACGTGACTGTTCTCACGCGTGACCAGAGTCGACGGCGCGAACTCCCTGCAGACGTCATCGTCAAGGAGGTAAACTATGATTCTATTGAGTCATTGGAGTCTGCTCTTCAAGGGCAGGATGCGCTCGTCTCCGCAATGGCCTTCGAGGCCATTCACGTGCAGAAGAATCTTGTTGACGCGGCGGCTAAGGCCGGCGTAAAGAGAATGATTCCTTCTGAGTACGGAAACGATCTCTTAAATCCTAAGCTAGCTGATTTCCCCATCTACAAGCCCAAAATTGCGATTCGTCAACGTTGCGAACAAAAGGTGATCGAGAACCCGCCATTTTCGTGGACTACGATTCACAATGCTTCGTTCCTTGGCCCGGACTGGACCTTGGACTTCATCGTGGACGTAAAGCAGCGTAAGGCTGACATCAAAGACGGCGGTGACGTACTGTTCTGTGCTACGACCTACGACGACATTGCCCAGGCCGTAGTTGGCATCTTGACCCACCTGGAAGAGACGGTTAACCGACCCGTGAGAATCTCTAGCGTCAACACGACCCAGAACGAATTAATTGCTATAGCCAAAGAGCTGGGCGCTAGTGACGGCTGGGATATTACTCATTCCAGAACCGAGGACCTGGAGACCAAAGCCCTACAACGTTGGGCAGAAGGTGACCATAGCGAGGAGGTGATCGCCATGTTCATAAATAGGGCGTTTATTGGCAAAGGTTGGGGCGGATACTTCCCGGTCCGGGATAACGATTTATTGGGTATCAAGGGCTTGGAAAGAGATGAGCTGAAAGCCATCATCAAGCTTGCTATGGACAGATGATCTGTGTGCTGACTAGAATCAAATGAAGAATAACTGATGGGTATCACTATGTATATTATGTCCTAATATCGGTACTAATATGTAGATCCCCTTCCCGGTACTATGGCACTGGGTCAATTTCCCCCACACGACACGTATTTGAATGTCGGTATTGCCCTCTGTTAGAATCCTGTAAACTATACACTACTTCCTTAACCTCCCTTAGACATATCCCAAGACCACAATGAAACCCTAAGTATTGCTCGTCGGAGCGCCTTTGCCCTTCTTGCCAGCCGGAGCTTCGGATTTGAGAATAAACCATCCCTACGAACCTTTCTCGATTCAGGGGTTCTGTATACACGACAGATATATACACCTACACACCATATAACTCCAGAACAAACCGAATACCGAGTGCTTCGGCTTTTTATATTCCGTTTCTATTACGTCCTCCTGCATTATCCCGTTTGCGCCAGCCCAAGAGGGAGTTCGTCAGGATGTATTAGTGTCGCGTCCCTTATTCCTATATCTCATCTTTTTACGTACGACTCTGGCCGGTGTAGCTTGACCTTCGAGGTCCTCTGGCGAAAGAGTAGTTCCCGTGGATCTGGTTCTCTTCGTCGCCGATGACTGGTCGTCGGTTTTCCGCCTGGTCTCTCTCGTCACGTACTTCACTAACAACCTCAACTTCAACGTGTTTGTGGATGTTGTGACTGGCGTTATTACTAATCGGAGAGCTGCCGTTAGTGCTCGTGTCGGTCCAACCCTTCAGATCTTGCATCTTAACATCATCCACTATTCGTTCCTCGCTCTCGTTAAAGGTAAAGTTCGTGATCGGGTTCGCCGTAGGGGGCCCGCGACGTCGCCAACTCTGATGACTTCCACCGCCAAACGTACGAAGGTCGGTTTTCGATTCCTTGTCGGTCAATTTTTGCTGCGAACGCACTGTCGTTAGGAGAGAGCCGAGGACCGGTGAAAGCCACATCTTGATGAGAGGGAAGACCATCGGTAAGTTGGTAGTAACCACGGCAACAAAGGTTTCCCGAACAGCCCACGATCCAGCGAGCTGAGCTCCGTTGACCGGATCCTACGCATATTTGTGAGTTCATGTACTCACAAATGAGATATCAGCTAAAGGACTTACAGTTACGATAAGAGCACAACGCAAAATAGCACATGCAACGACAAATAAACCACCGCTGAAAAGAATGATTAAGCCAAATTTCTTCGCGGGCTTCAAACTCGATTGCCAGAGCATGGGAACAGGAATAGAAATCAGATAAAGATCGGTTAACACATTCATCGAGAGGTACACCCAGATAACTTGATTAGATATGGCAGGTTGGCAGGTATCTGGAGAGCAGGTCAGTATCGCATCATATTGTTAGAGTCATATTGTTAGAAAGTTGCAACATACTTCCTGGGTCAGGATATATTTGCCAGTACTTGCGGAAGGGTCGGCAACCGAGGAAAAGATTCATTAATATGACAATGAAGCTAGCGATGAGGAGCCCAAAACCAATGTAGATACGGATCAGGTAGGTTCGGTTCAATCCAGCCTAGACTAATAGTTAGTTATGAATTTCGGAATAATAAAAGAAATATGCCCTTACCGTCAACCGCATGTAAAAGACTAGTAGAGATGCCTTGAGTGACCAGAGAAGCACAGAGTAAGAAGACCACCCAGCGAGTTGGATCTTGGAGCCGGTGACCCTGAAAAAACCAATTAGTACACCCTGATGAAACGACCCGTCTACTTTCCGTTATCTAAATTTACATACCTCGTCATATATTCTTGGCTGTCTGGCGATAACGCAGCACGCTGCTCGTCCGACATACCATTGTTGGCCAAGCCTTGGGCAACAGCACCGACTGAATAGGCTAGACTAGTCTCGACAGCATAGAAGGTCTACACGATGACGGTTAGTTATGGACATGGTTATTCCAGCGAGATAAATCCGAGTGAAGACTAACCACTCCAACCCAAACCAGATAGTCGTCGGCCTGTAAATGCCTAAGCCCTACAGCTTTTATACGGGCGTACGTCCGAAGTACGGTCACGAGAATACCGAATGATAGTAGCGTCCAGGCCTCGATTGTGAACTGGAGCAAGGCGGCGGCGGCGCCAGCAGCAGCCGCTGCTGCAGCCGCTGCGGGATCGGGTGGTTGCTCAGCTGAAGACATGATGCAGAAGGAAAGACAGATAAGTGAGCGCAAAAGAAGCGAGGGATAAGATTATCGAAGGACTTGACTTGACTTGACTTGACTTGACTTGACTTGACTTGACTTGAAGTCGACTAGCAGAGACACGAGACGGATGGAGGCTAGACTTTAGACTTTTACTATTCGAAGGCTGGCTCGCCCAAAGGGCGGAATTCGAAGACACTGAGATAGACTACATATAATTATACAAGACAAGTAAGAGGATCTTTTTGTGAAAGGCGTTGTGACTGGTCAATTGGCGATAGTCCGCAAAGATCGGGGTATCAAACATGGGTTCTTATGAGCCTGAACCAGAATCTGGCTGTATTGACATGGGTTGGATTAATCTCAAGTCATTATCAGGGTGGATATCCGAAGCCACATATATGGATACCAAGTGACAGATCGGCAAGAGTCTCAACTGTATCTGGAGTTCAATGCGGTTATCGTTCGTGTGACGACTCTATATCACTTATTCAACCGTCAACCGCATGATCACACACGAAGCTGATTTCCTTAGCAATGCAGGAACGAGATGTCAATCTCTCTCTTCGAATCTTGGTAACTTAGACGCACTTCAATATTGCCACCCAAGCTACCTACCCCTAGCTGCTGTTGAGCTCCTGTATTGTGCGTCACATAAGCCCTAGAACTATTATGGTTTAATTTTTTTTGTGAATTGAAATGTGCCGTGCCTTGTGAGACGTATTGTCGAATTGTCGACTCCGATTCTATGCATAAGGATATGCGCGGCTAAACATCACGGTTACATTCCCTCAGGGGCCGGCAAGCTAGCCTCTGCATATTTGCGGGACCTCGGTGCCACTGCTTCAGCCTTCGGCGCAACAACTAGTTCCTCCGAGGCGTTGGATGAGACGAATGAGAGAAAGTAAGGATGGAAAGCCGGGGGGAGGGGGCAAGAAGAGAGTAGGTTAGGTATGTATGTATCACAAAAGAAAATCCCCTGGAATCATTCTCGTGGCTTATGTAGCTTATGTAGCTTTGTTGTGTAAAAGAAAAGAAGGAGTCGAATGCTCAGGGGGTCTAGAGCTCAAGAAGGATTCGAGAATCGAAGCTAGACAGCTGGAGAGCCTCAGGTAGGCGGAAAATCATGTCCGGAATTCCAAACCTGCCCGTTCGGTATTAACTAGTTGGTACTAACCAACTACCAACTACCAACTACCTAACCATGCATATGTAGTGCAGCTCGGACTTATGCTGTTTATGTATATATGTAGTTGTATAGCTGGTTGTATATAGGTAGTATATAGGTATGTAGTATATCTGGTGGTATTATGCATGGCACCCTCCATAACGTACAGATGCAGGCTAGAACATCTACTTAACGCATCTACGAATCTACTAGGTTACAAGCAAAACAAGATGGTGTGCTGCACAGCTGCATTACATATGCATGTTAATATTTAGCGACGGCTTAAAACGACTTAGACGACTTGGACGTAAGCAATAGTGGAAAATTTTATTTACATGTTGGTGACGCTGTAATAAGTTCTCACCTCGTAAGTGGTCAATATCTGGTCATAGATCCCTCAATTATTTATCATGCTAATCTGTTATCATCGTAATCATGGCAATTCATCGGTCGGTCTGTACCGATAGCTACGTTATAATTGGATATATTAAGTATCTGAATTTCGTGCATATCACAGCAGCAAAAACTGGGGTCCGTCTAGACTTAACGGGCTATAAGATGGCCAATTAATGACAAGGCTCCAGGGAAGAGGTGGGGTTATGAGAGGCGGAAAGGAGGGTCAAACTACAATTACGTCTACTATGGATTGCGACGACGGGACGGGTGAGACCAAACCAAGTAACCAAGTCCAAGAATAGTAAGTGATTGGCGTGGATCTTCTCGGCTGATATACTCGTTTGACGTTGGCGGATTAGATTAGGATTTAGCAATTCTTGCCAAGAGTGTGGAGGGTTGCCGTTTCGAGAACCACTTCATAATCTTAGGTAGTGTAAACATCACTCCCTGTCATGCCGTCGTTCCTAGGGACCCCAAGACACGGACCCTGTAACACCCTTGCTTCGCACCGTACGACTAGGGAACGACAGATTAGAGCGGGCCATCGGGATGTTGGATGAGACGAGCGATGCCGTTTCTTGCTCAGCATGCTGGTACTATGCTATGGTGCAAAATAGGTCGAGGCCCTCCTACCGCGTGGAAGAAGGGAGGGTAGGAAGGCTCTCTCTTAACTACATACCTCTTACTATTATGTCCTAACCCTCGGCGCCTTCGGTGCGTTTCGCATTTTTCAAGTTTATCCCATGACTTTTATCCAGTCTCCCGGTTCGTTTCTATACCAAGACCTAGACGCCATTTGCTTGTTTGCGTAGGACCAACACGGAAGGCCCATCGGATAAAGCACCGAGCTAGCCTTGTGTAAGTGTTATCACTATGGCCGACATAGGCTTTACCGAAAAGCGCGAGGCTATCGCTGCCACAGAAAACATCACAATGGAGAAGCTGGACTGCGTCGTTGTTGGTGCCGGTAAGTTTGATACGCCTCTTTAGTCCCCCCGTCTCTCTTATCTTATACACCTCCCACCTCCCAACCAACGGGCATCATATAATCGTGAGGGCGTATAGCTGACCCCGCCGGTTTGGCAGGTTGGTATGGATTGGCCGCTGCCAAGCAGTTTCACGTTACTCAACCAGAATGTTCACTCGCCGTGTTCGACTCCCAGTCCAGCTTGGGCGGCACGTGGGCCAACGATCGTCTATACCCAGGCTTAAAGAGTAACAATCTGCTGGGAACGTTCGAGTATCCCGACTTTCCCATGGACACGCCGACATTTGGTGTCAAGACGGGTGAACATATGCCGGGTGAGGTTATCAACAACTACCTCAAGGCGTACGCGGCCAGGTTTGGGATCACGAGCTTGGTCCGTCTGAGCACCAAAGTCCTCGTTGCTGAACATCAAGATACTGTCGAGGGTGGTTGGGTCTTGACGGTCCAGCCGCCGGATCAAAGCGAGACCAAGGTCTTCGCACGTCGGGTCATCTTCGCTACTGGTCTAACATCAGAGCCTTTCTTGCCGCACTTCGAAGGTGAAGAGACCTTTGGTGGTAGAATATTCCATGGCAAGGCATTTAAACAAAATGCCGATACGTTACAGACCGCTAAGAGAGTTACGATCTTCGGCGCCACCAAATTCGCCTGGGACGCCGTTTACGCCTACGCCACCGCCGGCGTAAAAGTAGATTGGGTAATTCGCTGTGAGTGTCTTCGTGATTATTGATAAATCGTGGCGTATTAATCGATTTCAATAGCCTCCGGCCATGGCCCGTGTTGGATCGCTCCATCGTACGTAACTCCACTTAAGAAGTGGATCGAGAAGCTCGCCAGTAAGTCATTGCGATAATTCATGTGAAGCTCAAATCTTTTAACATATGTGAATAGACATGCGTTTCTTGACATGGTTTAGCCCTTGTGCATGGGGCGATATAGACGGCTACGGTGGAATTCGTGGCTTTTACCATGGAACTCCTGTTGGACGTGCCATCGTTAACTCCTTCTGGAAGGTGTTAAGCGGGGATGTCATCAGTCTCAACGGATACGACTCACACCCGAAGACAGCTAAACTGAAGCCTTGGACCAGTGCTATGTTTACAGGATCAAGCTTCAGCATCATGAATTACGATACCAACTTCATGGATATCGTTAAGAGCGACCTCGTCAACGTCTATGTTAGCGAAATCGACCATCTCAGCCCAGGAAAGGTCCACCTATCCGACGGTACCGAGTTTGAGTCCGACGCTCTACTCGCGCACACCGGCTGGAAGCATGTGCCGTCCATCAAGCTCCTACCCGAAGGCATCGAGAATGAACTTGGTGTTCCGCATAGCCCGAACGCGGACGCACCAGCTAATGACCTCGCCAACAACCCGGAGTTGATGGAGCGCGTAGATAAAGATATCCTTGACCGCTTCCCTCGGTTGAAAGACCCGCCCGTATGGAATAAGAATTATGTCCCCATGACTGAGCAGAAGGGGATCATGAGTGATGATGACGTGACCCCCTACAAACCGCTCACGCCGTATATGTTGCACCACTTTATCGTGCCTCCATCCGAACGATTCCTGCGTCCTCGTGACACAGCATTTATCGGTATAGTGTCCAACTTCAGTAACATGATTACTGCGCACTTGCAGGGTCTCTGGATCAGCGCCTATTTCGCCGGGAAGCTAGAACTAGACCCGTCGACGGCGGTTGGTGACCCGAAGGCAATGGACAAGCTTCGGTACGAGACCATGCTTCATAACCGTTTTGGAAAATGGCGCTATCCGACCGACGGCACGAAGAACCCCAACTTCATCTTCGACGCCGTTCCATATCTCGATCTCTTACAGCGCGACCTAGGTCTTAACATCTACCGTAAGAAGGGCTTCCTGGCGGAGCTTTATGAGCCGTACGGGCCTGAGGACTACCGCGATATTAATACCGAGTGGATGAACAAGTACGGCAACATGAAGAAGCTAGAATCTCTAGACGACAGCTTAAAGTCTTTAGACTCGCAGGAGCCGAATCTGAACTAGACTAATCTAGATCTTTTCTATGGGCTCTGGGAGCAAGCACGGGCGTGTGCTAATGAGGGGGTTGTACTTCTATTTGGGCTATGGAACTACAGGTTGGGACGGAGTTGTCTTTGAGACGATGTACTAAAAAGCACTCCTGGTTGATTTTTTTGGTTTTTTTTTTTTTTTTTTTTTTTTTATCTATACGACATTCCGCTGGCGCTTCAGCATGATCTGTCATTTCTTCTCTGTTTCAAAATTCTTCTTGTACAATTATATAGCATGCTTTTTTCTTTTTCTTTTTTTTTCCGCGTAGAAACTAGATGATACCCATAACCCAGCAACCAGCAGCACATAGTGAGGTTGGGTATGCATAATACTATTGACGCAGTGCAAAACACGTGCAGCGAACTCAGCATAAGTCTTATTCACGTGCAATCTCAGTGTACGAAGTACAAAGTACGAAGAGTGATTACACAATCGAAACGTGTTGCCTCCAAATAAAGATAGGGGTAAGTGAAATGCTAAGTGGAATACACACTGTAAGCCAGCCACTCGCTTATGTACATGTCGTATAGGATATAACCTAGCGAAATTTTCTACCCTGTCTACATACAGTATGTAGCATATCAAGTTTATATCCCAGTATCATGCGATACTCGAACCATATTATCGACTGTGTTACTGACAGCAAGGGACTTACTGCATAGGTAGGTCCTTTCGTAGCAAGTAATGTGACAACTTAGTATGTACTCTAAAAACTAATACCCGTCTCATGCACTCGGTAATAGGTATGACACGCATAAAATAAAATAAAAAGGAGAAAGGGGACAAATAGAAAGAAAGCTACGTAATTTGGAAGTAACGTCGAGGCTCTGTCATAATGCTATTATTGTTCAATAGCAAATTTGAAGAGGCTTATAGCTGATCGATCAATGATCGACGACATGAATATTAACAGCTAATTTCAAAGGCTGACAAGGCCAATCATAGACGGCCGAGCCGTCTTACCCCGACCCGAGCCACTAAAACAGACGATCCCGGGTTAAGTCACGGGATCCGGGGGCTAACGGGATCTTATTTAGGGGGCTAATGTAGTGCCACAAAGAAAAGATTTTTCGCCAATAGTTCAACGGCGGGCCTGGGTATTACATATTGTCAAGTGTTAGAGATATATAGGAATTAGCGTACGTAGCTATTCCCTCGGCGCCGCGGCAACAACAACAAGGGTTAAATGTCAATGTCACAACAGGGTTCAAGGGGGTCAAAAATATCAACTCCACATCGCATCGACGATGGGTCTTTTTATGCTTATTGCTGCGCCCGTTCTTGTTATACACGAGGATAAATTTTATTATGTATTATGTATTTGATCACTAAGCGTGGGGTTGCATGGAGGTCAACCAGGTCAAAAAAGGGATTCACCCTGCCGCCTTACAATTCAAGGCCGAGCGTCTCCAGGGAATAGTAAAGAAAAACCATGTCTATTGTTTCTAGGATGCTATCACCATGGATTGAATCTTGGTCCTAACAACTGATCCCTTCAGCCCTGTCGCTATGTATTTAATAAGAGTTAATAACTAGTTCAAACTGCTATAAAACTCGGCCGAAAATACGGAATAGGTGTTGTTCATCGTTGGAAATACTACCTACCATTCCCAGCACATTGGTAATGAGCCTTGCATTGCTCGCATCTTGGCCAGCTTGCATACATGGAATTTCCTACGTGCACAACAGAATGCAACGTATAGGGGGTTACATGTATGTATGTAGGTAGGCATGTATGTAGGCATGTTCTGATCTTGCCTCCTCGATCACCCCGCAGCAGCAATCAAACCCATCAAGCCCTTCAAACCCCTCGCGGAAATTCAAACGACGGTGAGCACAGCGTTTGCCGAGGCATCGCATAGATTAGGTCTGCATCGGGACGGAAGTTAAGAGCAGTTGTAGTAAATACGCCGATGGAGCGAACAAGTAGTGTAAAGGATAGAACTACCGCGAAAGTGAACGCTCCAAAATACAACGTTCCTTGAAACGACGAAATGCTAAGCGATTTGTCAATTGATATTGACATATGATATTGACATAACAACCACATAATGCGTGAGGAGCTTTCTTAACTCGGCTAGGTTCTAACAGCTGCATGGGACGTCTGCAAGACATCAGCGAAAGTTCACGTGTGAATGGCGACATGGAAGAAGATTCGTCTCCTTTTCCATACATACTTCATCCCACCTCCCAAACCCCAAGCGATGGTAAGTAGATCTGCCCACAACTCCCGACCCGTATAGTAACCCCTCATCTAAGCGAGGGAGCTTGAACTGAGCTGCGAACTGCATGCATAGGTAGAGGTACCTACCCTACGTAGGTAAACATCAGCACATGTACATAGGAGGATGTGCATGCGGATGAAGACCTACCATAAGACCTTGTCGTTACATAATATGGATAGAGAAAACGTGCATTAGCCAGTAAAGCCTATTAGAGTTATGCTAATCATAGTTGTGCATTTGTTAGCGGGGTTGCGGTCCGCAATGAGCTCAACGAGCGCAATGAGTAAATTATGTATTCGGCCCATATGCAATGTTACACGAGCTTTAAGAGTCGGATTTCTCCCGCTTCATCTTTTCAAATACTTAGTTTTATTTCAACAACGATAGCATTGTTAATGCGACATAATGGGACGAAGTTATTTTAGACACAAAGTCCAAAGCACTGACATGCGGGAGCTACCGCTTAATACCCACATAGACGATTTTACTATGTAATTACCTTGTATTAGCCCTAAGCCTTACGACCCACCCCGTAATATAAGAGGTAGGTAATAAGAAAGATAATACGATAGCTGACTACTAGGAATTCACTAGGGGGAAAATTAATATTAATACGCGTTGTTAGTAAGCTGCTCGACGAAGTACGAGACTGTAATTACAGTAATTTACAACAATCATAAGCGCGAAAAGGCAACTGGTTGCGACCATATTCAAAATACGATTTCGCCGCAACAATATTCTGGCTCGCCCAAATTAAGAAACTTTAAGGTATTCAATTTCCATGACTACCTACCTACCTATTTCCGTATTTCAATATAATACATATGGCTGCCACGAGGACATCTGTTATGTCAACGCCGCGTCCCTGCATACGGTAATACGCGACCCTTTAGAATTAAAGCCATGGTTCAGTTTTAATGTGTGTCTCAAATCCTTTGTCGATCTCATAGAGCCTCAAAGTTTCATTTCCATGACCATTCTACATATTCAACGACTTCATTGTAAATAGATTCATACATTAACTAGGTACTTCATGATATTCTATTGATAGATTAAGAATGTCATCTTATTACATAGAATCTACGCCGCCTACGCCGCCGTTAGCTCTATCAGGGGTGTTATCATCGTTATCTAGCGCCTCTTAGTAGTTTCAATTGCGCATACATAGGTAGGTAGTTATCAGTTACGATAAAAGCAAAAATGTGGGATGATCAACGCGATAGCAACGCGATAGCAACGCCTAGTCCCAAGCCATCGAACTCAAGTCTAACGGGGGGGGGCTTATTCCTTGTCTAACATGTCCTTTCCGCGCCTTTGGCGTTTTTCAATTTCCCAATTATTTCCATTTGCAATGTGATCTCGACATCATCACCGCTGTAATCCAAGGCGGTAAGATACCTATCTACGACTGCGAAGCCTTGCGATTTCAGGTATCAATTTTCTTATCACCAAGGATATCCAATGCAGCCCATTTTCGATCTATCGTAAATTCGAAAAGCCAATATCACCGGCTGTTGAATTGACTTCTTGCGACGTGGCGGATGCAGAGGCAGCATAAGCAAGAAATTCACCATGCGTTCGCACCCGTACACACCGCCACCTCCGCTGCCACCATTGCTCGCCGAACTAGCCACATTACTTCCCAATCGTGATCGCAGAAGCGCCGAGGGCGATAAGACGATATCATTATTAGATCTAGATCCTGAGACGAGTCGGTTGTTGCCGGTAAAAGAGCGACCGCAACATTGTGTAAGAGTGCAGGGCCGATTGACGCCAGTGCGTAGTGTGTCCACTACCAACCTACGGGCGACAAGCCAGACGCGTTTCGATACTGCAGTGAGCGGTACTCCGGCTCGACCCCAGAGGCAACGGAGCTCAGATAACCTTAATCACGAGATGAGAGGTGAGATTAGGGAGAGGGACGCGCAACTGAGAAGTTATGGCATTGGCGGACGGGGCAATATCCGCGAGTTCCCTCTCTTATATAAGATCAACGTGTGCTTGAACGCTCATACTCACAGCAGGTCGGCCAACAGAGGTCATAGGGACTCAATCCGAGTCCTCCTTATCCGCGCTCTCGCTCTTTTCATGTACCAGCTCGACGACGCACCGCCCATCCTCAGGGCCGAGTGTGGATAAGAAATTTAGTTTCTCCAGGTTATTAAATCGAATAGAAGAGCGCAGGGGAAAGGAGCATTTAAATATCAACAACGATACAGCTCATAAGAGAAGCTTGACCCGAGCCTAAGGATACATCGCGAAAGTTTAACACGAGTTCACTATATATAATTCATAGTCTTGATCTGAGAGGCAGATCTAGCCTAATTAGAATACATAGTATAATTGAAGACGCATCGCATTGTTTTAACGGCTATCTTGGTATTCGTGAGCTTATACTAGAATTTCCTAGGCTACCTATCTATTCCAATAGATGAGAGAATAGTTAGTTTGGGATCTTTCGGTAGAGTTAGTGCCTCTCAATATAGGTATCTACTCAGTTAATAATGAATGTCTGCTTCTATAAACCTTCAACATCCCTAAACTTATTTTCACGGGACTCTATTTGGTTTATACCACAAATATACAACGTGTTTTCTAGTTCCACAAGAAGGGAGAAACCAAAAATAAATTTGATGAACACCTGATCAGTAGTTCAATGATAATAAGGTACGCTTCAACATGACTCTAAATTAGACTCAAGTTGAGGCCCTATGTGAGCCAACGTCCACTTCTGGGCTATGGCAGTCCAGTGCAACGATTTGAGAGCCGGTCGATTAGCGTAGAATAAACTCTTCATCATCATTAGAAACCATTTGATAAATATCTGGGTTATTGCTTGATGATACATTTATTATTTACGCGCACGCGCTGGATATAGATGGGATTGGCCGATGATATTCACAATTTTAGCCCCTTTCCAATACTAAATTCCAGTTCAATACAACGCACCACTACTCATCCTAACCATTTGTTTTCTATTGCAACCCTTACATGAAGCTAAATGTTGGTGTGTATAAGACTCTTGATTGGCTTGATTTGGTCAAGTGACCGCTATAGTTCATAGTATATATTAAAAGCGCATAATTCGTCGACGTAAATGGAATATTGGTCAGGTGGTCATCATACAGTTACACTTGGACACAGGTGCACCATGCCATCTAGCCCCGTAACCAAAACAACGTCAATGAGAGTAACGCATGCGGTTCGAAGATCTCATGCATCACATACCTGAACTATATGGCGGGCTACCACCTAAAGTCATTAGTGGAACTATGAAAGGGTGTCTACGTAATTGTAACTTATTGAATAGGTACTTAACCTTTAGGTAATTAAGAGAAAGGGGTTTGTTTTAAGCTAAGAATAAAATAAGTATCATTTCACAAGGCTGAGACTCAACCACCCCAATAAGAAAGTTACTAGTCAACCCCCCTGGGAAATTCTCATACTCCTATGAAGGCGAAAGGGGCGGAATTTGATATATTGCAGGATCAAACAGCATTAACTATACTTCAAAGTTAATATAGTTTCCAGATACGAAATTCTTAATGTGCTCCTTGACCATTGCCTTCATCGTCAACACAGTCTTTGTAGAATAATAGGCCACGTGCGGGGACAAGGTAAGATTCAAACCCGCAGTATCATCTGCTAATAATGCACTATCTTCCTCGGTAGATGCGGGTTCTCTGTCGAAGACGTCCACTGCGACACCAGAGATTTGGCTCTCTCGCAATGCCCGGATCACTGCAGTTGTGTTCATGACTCCTGCGCGGGACACGTTGACGATGATTGCCTCGGGCTGCATGGTGCTCAGCTCGGGCGCGTCTATCATGTTTCGCGATGTTTCGTCCAATGTACAGCAAATGAAAAGTACGGTTGCTGATCTGATAACTTCATCAAAGGGAGTGCGGAAGTCGGCCGGCCCCTTCATCTCGTTTAGATTTTTCCGACTTAGACCGTTAGCCTTCCGCTCGGCGATAAGCACTTTCATCCCTAACGCCTTACAAAAAACATCAAGACGTTTACCTAGTAGGCAGTTTAGCTCGAGTGATGCATCATAGTTTTCTATGCGTACCGATAGTACCATATCCAAAGATTCCTGCGACTTCTTGTTCGAGGGAATATGGCGGATGCCCGTTTGCGGTTTGCATATTGGATGCGATACTGCCTTGTCTTTTCCATGAGTTTTTGCCATTCTCGTCCACAGTCCGGATCTCATCGTGTAGCATTATCGTCTTGCGTCTAGCCGCGAAATACTTAAGTTGGAGTTAGTAGGATGCAGCTATCAACCCCTTTCCATACCTCCCACGACTAACCAAGCTCAGTGCATGCTCAGGGACCGCCAAAGACGTCGAGCCGAGACATTTGGCCACTTTGATGCCACGACGACGACACTCTTCTACGTCAATATGGTTGGTACCGGCGGTTGGAGTGATCACGCATTTGCTTAATGGTCAGTAGAATCTCTAATGAGGGGTGCGTGTGCATCTTAGGTAGGTAGGTAAGCATACAGATGAGGCGCGTCTCCCAAGCTTTCGGCTGAGATGAATGCTTGAGGTGCAATAACGATACTAGCGCATTGTATGCGTTCGCGTACCTCTTCTGCTCTATTAATACGCTGATACGAAATATACTCATGCGTCCGCGGGGTTGTATCGATACCTTCAAGTACCATATGGACTTCCTCAAGCAGCACGATTACTTCATGACTTGAAGAGGGCAGCCTTCCCGGCAACTTCGGCGTATCAGACGCCATCATGATAGATGACAAGTAGTGAGTGAAAAGTGTTTGTGGGAATTTCTACTGGGGAATTTCACACAGCAGGCCGATCGTTACACTGGAGATATTCCACATACTAAGCCTAGCTGTAAGGGATAAGGCGCCAAAAAAACACCTCAATAATGACGGGAAAAGGCCGGTTACGGGCTTAACGATAACCTATGATGCTATAAGGGTAGAACAAAACTCGATAAATCTATAGTTAAGTGTGGGTTGAATCGTCTGGAACAAGACCGACAACAAATAAAGACCAGATAGCGCGCCATCTACAGCGCCCCTCAAGAAAAGGAGTAATCATATAAAGTATCAGCTACTCATACACTTGTCAATTAAAGTCTATACATGAGCCTGTGTATTCAGACTTCGCCCAATTACCAATTTTCAGAAGCCTAATATTCTCACATTTGTCAATTATTCGGTGCTTATTCATGCATTACACACCAAAGCAAATCCTAACATTTTGGCTGCAAGGGCTACACCGGTCATATTTACATATGTTCACAAATACGAAGACATGTTGGATATGGCTGTTGTATAGAATTTTCGGATCCCCCGTAGTCTACACCGTCAAGTTCCGAGTAATAGATGCTCGCATTTATGACCCTTATATAAGTCATCTCATTTGATATGGTAGTGTATTTTGTACTTATTCTGATACTGGCCCAGTCTATACAATCCTAGTTACGGTAAAGAGCAGTCGACGGCTATCCTCATTCTCTACGGGACTATTAATATTGATCCCAATCATATCCATAGTGCCCTCAACCTTCCATTGCGTTTGCGTAGCTTCTCCCACCTTTTGCCACATATTATTAAACGTATCTACGTTGTGCCTGTAGCTAAGGCTTTTATCCTTGATGGCGGGCACATCTCCGGGCTTAACGCTGCCAATTTGTCTTCCGACGATCACTCCGTCTTTCTTAATAAGTTTCGCAAGATTTTTCGCCGCGAAAATCTGGTCCTCAAGGGTAAACAGATGAAAAAAGGCGCTACAATGCATCACATCCACACCACGTTTCTCTAAATCCGTCCATACTGGTCCTTGCTCCGCCCCCTTGAATACGTCAGCTACCACGAAGCATGAGCGTAATGCCTCGCGATCCAGAAAGAAGTCGTAGCCAAGATCCATCAAAGCCCCTGCGACATCGAGGCCGATGAGTCGGTCTGAAGGAACGCCATCTTGCACTAGTTGGCGCAGATCTTGCCCAAAGCAACAGCCGACATCCAAGTAGGTAGCATTTGCGACATTGAGGCGCTCTATGATTGTGTTGTACAAAGGATGACTGAGTAGGGTTAGATTCGTAAAGCGGTAGAGTCCGATGCAAGGGTAAGGATTGGCTGCAAAGCCCCGTTCTCGCTATGTTTCCGTTAGTTCTACCGGAGAGTATTGCCCTGGAAAAGATTCGTACTATGCTGTTGACATGCTTGACAACTTCGGAGCTGGGTATTTTAGAGTAATTTTCGAGAAGCTTTCGAATAGGCCCGTTGATCTCAGTTAAGTCATCTTGGTACCATCCCCTGTTTCTTTCAGGAAAGGAGGTCTCGTTAGTAGCTGCCATGGCAGAGACCTAGTTTCATATGAAGTATTGGCCACGAGTAAGATGTGATGATGGAAATCAGAAGTGAAAAAATAGTTAAATTGAAAACTCAAAGCCAGCCATTTTATATGTGTCCACATTTGGTCATCAAGCATAAAGTAAGAGCAGGAATCCGGTTACCGGCGTATGCCTGCTGAATGTACGCAGGTAATAATTTAAAAGTACCTAATATGCGTTTACCCTTGAATTTACACTTAGTGAAAGATAACGTGTCACAAAGAAAAGCCTCCCTTGACGCATTGACAGTCCGTTGTGTAGTAAGGAATATCGTAAGTGATAAGACTACATGTGCTAGAGTCTACGTCTATATATACTAAACACGTTCTTTGTTCTAGATGTCCCATCAGGAATCCTGACACTGCCTAGTTACATGTATAATCCACCGAAATAGGTACCTACCTACCTACTGCCTGAGGTAAACTTGCCATTACTTTTATAATGATGGCTATCTCCCCTATCTTCTTGCTGAGTGTCGTTACCATGCACATCTGCCTCCTCTAATTCAATATGTGTCTCACTATCTAACTGCCTAGTGCTCCGAGACATAACTGTAGAAAATCCAGTACCTTGCTTCCTTCGTGATAAAGGGGGTTTGAAGCGATATCTCCCATTCAAAATACTAGCAGTCGGTCCGGGATGTTCTTTCTTTTTCCATAGCAGCCCCGTTTCTGGAAAACTTACGCAAAGTATTCCCGTCGTCAACTCGGCCAGCCTGGAAACTCAAATTAGCTCATATTCTTCGTCGTGCACCGAAACATTCACTCACCCCCACATAATGATATCAGGCTGAACCCAAGTCTTGTCAGGGTTGTTGGTGCCTTGCAGCCGTACAATAGTGCCCGCCAGACTAAATGCGGGAGCGCTATGGTACCGTTCGATTCAGTACTAATATATAGTATCAATAGGTCAAGTAGGTACTGACCTTAAACCAAACGTAAATACCAATACGACAGCCACCTTTTCCCGCGGACTCATATTCAGCCCCCAGACTGCCCTTACTGGAAGCAAGAGAATAATCAAATCGGTCACCGTATTGAAGATCCCGCTGGTATTGAGTAGTATGGGAGTATTAATACAAGATCCCGGGATCTTGTCGTTCAAAATCTTTTCCCTAGGGACGCACTCCCATATCTTAACGATATTAATTGCCGTGTAGAACATGATGAGTAGGACAATCAGAAATACGATGGTGATGTCAAAAGGAGTCGCACGCTGAGGAGAGAAGATTCGACGGTAGAGCCACAACACTGAGAGCTTTGCAACGCAAATCGTGATCCCATAGTGGATGGAAGCTACATTGAACCACTTTCAGAAGTAATCAGCATCTGCAATATTTGCTCTCTCGTGTATCTGGAACCAGTTGGGATCCTACATAAGACGCTTCCTGAGCTTGAGCGGGTGTAATATCCCACCCATGTTTCCCACCATTATGTGCCATCGTAGCAGCACCGACGCCAGCGAAGGAAACCGTACCAACCTACAAACATTGGTGATTAACAATTGATCAGAGAAGGTCACCTCTCTAGGTGTGTATGCACCGGGCTTACCCAAGCAGTGAGCGCGAGCCCTTTACCTATGTTAGCTCATAGTTATTTGGGTGTATAGGGGCTATGGCCAACTTACAGTCTTCAAAGGTCCACGTCCGCCTAATAAAGATTCTGACGTATGTCCTAAGGCCAAAGAAAATCATTATCAAAGGAACGGCGATTGCGATGGCAATGTTCATTTCTTTGACTAAAGATGGCGGGTTCACGAAATCAGATGTCACTCCGGGAGGTGGAGGTAAAGCAGGTGTTGGTGTTGCCATTTTTCACATTATCCTTCAGTTATGTTATGATAAATTCGATCAATCGTAAGATCGATCCGGAGGGTTTATACTTTTGAAGAATCGGTTAGAATAATCAACTAACAGATGGATAAAACGCAGTTAGATGAGATTAGTCAATCAACCTGATTTGCTCTCAATACTCTTATGTGCATCCGAAATCTCATATCTGCAGCATCCCGCTTCATCATAATTCGTTCTGACCTCGTATTATAGAGAAGAAGGTCGGCATCCGAACGAGACGACTCGTCGTGTGTACCTAAGAGGTACATATGTAGGTCTAAGACATATGTTAGGTATATATCTAGGATAGGATGAAGCCAGTAAAGGGAGATTGGTTGAACTGCGTAAAAAGGCAGAAGCCCTCAAGCCTCTCATATAATTAACTGTCTTATAAATGCACGAGCCATGTACTTGTTGCAAACATCCCTTGCTCAATCTGCTGCCTTGTTCGTCCTGGACGCTTTTCTTCGTGCCATTATCTTTGTCTACCCCCGCTCCATCCACACAACATATTTAATTATTTTAGTCAATATTCTTTCTCGTATCATACAATGGCAAGTCCAAGAGATACGGGCATACAAGTTTCCAATGGCCTGGATCAAGATAGAGAGACTTTGAACTCTCACTCCATCCTCGAGCCATCCTTACACACTCGTGTCGACGAAGCTAAGTTATTACGCAAGATAGACCTACGTGTCTTGCCGATATTGTTCACGATATACATTGTAGCAGTTCTAGATCGGTAGGCACCCTAGTCTGTTGGGGAGCATTCAATTCTAAACGCACATAGTGTCAATATTTCCAATGCACTTACATTGGGGTTGCCTGCAGAGCTTGGCCTGGTAGGCGACCAGTCAAATATCGCCCTCACTATTTTCTTTGTGCCATATATCATCTTCGAGATCCCATCCAACATCCTTATGAAGAAGCTAGGTCCTCGTATCTGGCTCTCTGCATGTATCCTAAGTTTTGGGATTGTGATGATCGGCCAAGGATTCGTGAAGAGCTATAGCGGGTTACTGGCTACCAGATTCTTCTTGGGGCTCACCGAGGCCGGAATCTTTCCGGGTAGTTTATACTTGATTAGCTTCTGGTACGAGAAATCCGAGGCCCAAAAACGGTTTACAGTCTACTGGTCAACTACGATTTTTGCTGGGGCCTTCGGAGGCTTACTTGCTAGTGCTATCGCCAATATGGACGGCATCCGAGGCCTTAGCAACTGGAGATGGGTTTTTATTCTGGAAGGCATCGCGACCGTTCTTATTGGTCTTGTAGCCTTATTATGCGTCACGGACTTCCCAAGAGAAGCCAAGTGGCTATCTCAGGAAGAAAAGGAGTTCTTATTACAGAAAACGGGGGCCAACGAGTCTCACACAGTTCCTGTCACTACAAAAGATGTATTGGCTTTCCTTACGGAACCTAAGCAATGGTTTGCGGCTGCCATGTACTTTAGTAAGCCCCTATTTATATGCCTAAATTACCTATACATAATTACTAACTTTCAACAGCAATATTAATCCCCTCTTATTCCATTGTATACTTCCTTCCAACTATCATCCAAGCTCTCGGCTATACATCCATACAAACCCAACTACATTCGGTCCCCCCATTTGCGGCGGCACTCGGTTTTACCATAGTTATAGCTTATGCCTCTGATAAGCTTCAGATGCGTTCGCCCTTCATCTTTCTCGGCCTTATGCTGTTGATCTGCGGTCTTGCTATCCTTATCTCTGTCCACGGCGCCACTCATTTTTCAGCCGAGTACGCAGCACTTTGCCTCGTAGCTATGGGTTCCTTTGGTGTTGGAGGGAATATTGTTTGTTGGTATGTGATGAATCTGCGGGGTCATGTAGAACGAAGTATCGGTTCAGCATGGATGATTTGTTTTGGGAATACAGGCGGGATCATTGCCACGTTCCTCTTCTTAAAGAAAGATGCGCCATACTATAGCACAGGTTATTCGGTCTGCCTCGCTATGAGCGCTCTTTGTGTGGTGTCGTGTGCTTCATATGGCCTGCTTATTCGACGGGAGATAAAAGCAAACTTGAAACATGAAATAGGCGGAAGTCTGAAGAATCAAACATTATATTTATAAGATTACCTAGTTGATATCGTTAGTTATAGGTAGTTGTCATAATTGAGCAATTATTTGACCAGCGGGGTCAACGACACTCTTCTGAGATATCTCATATATTAGGTACTATAGGTTCGATATTGAATACCTATAAAGTGAACCCAGCGGATACCTATTTTTATGTACTGAAAACATAACATTCCTCTAAATACTTATTACTCACCTATATTCTAAAAGTAAAGAAGCAATCTGAATTACTAAACATGAATATCCTCACGAAAGACTAATTGAAATCCACCAGATATGGATTTGAGGTTCTTAATAACTCTGCTTTTCCTATTTCTATTTAATAGTTCATTTAATGTAACATATGATAGTTCTAGGAGATGTCCTTGCCATTATAGACCCTGCCTGTATCCCTTGTCTCCGGCCAACCCCTTCAGAATAAGTCTTCTCTGAACTTCCAGTGATTAGCTTCGATGACATCCGCCGGCATGGTCCAGTCCTATGGCGCCGGATTCTTCGGGAGGAGATCTGGATAGTCTTGGTGGATACTCCATAAATGCAAGGATATCGGGACGGCGAGGATCATGGGGTGCCGTTCTGCACCAAAGTGATCGACCAGGTTTATGAACTCGCCGGGATCGATCGCATCGTCCATGCAGGCAGGTATTTTCCCGTAGTAGACTTTGGCAAGGTCATTCGGTAGGCTAACCCGTAGCTCTCTAGAGCTGTACTATTATATTAGTATAGGTATTCCATCGTCCACGTGAAAGAGAATAGATGTATACAAATGCTTCCGAATACTATGTGCCTTTGATTGAGTGATCGGGTCCTTCTTTGGTAGCCTAGTAGACGCGACTAGAGCGTCTAAATATAGCTTGACGAACTTTTCGCGATGCTACACGAGATCCTCTTTCAGTAGGCGGAGCTGGAAGTGATGAACCCTCCAGTGCCGAGGTCGGTATTTGCCCAAGTTTGGCCACTCGGTCCTTACGCAAGGTAGGTCATGCTCGCGCATGTATTGACCAGCGTGCGCAAAGGTTATGCGGGATTTGTCCTTATGCCACTGGTGTCGAAAGACTGAGACTACGGTCTTCAAGGGGAGGTTCGCAAGTGCAGTGACGGCTGTCTGGTGTTGAAGTGTCGTATGACAGCCGGCCCCTGACGATTGTCCATTTTCGGCTGGCTTTTTGCCGTCCTTCACGGATGGATCACCGCTCATATTTGACAGCTGCTGTCAGTATCGATGGCATAGCAGTGTTAAGGAACGGGGAGCTGGGGAGTCCAATTCAAAGTTGGAGGAATTAGATTTAGAGCACACTTTTCAACCTAGAAAGCGCCTACTTCTACACATACTCAAGGAAAGCACATAATTGAAGTATTGCTATTAATATGTAGAAAGAATTGGGAATTATGAGTTGAGGTTTGAGAGTAGAAGTTGCGTATGAGTGCTGTACATGTATCATTGCCTGTGTCGGATTATTACATATATTATTATATCCGTTAAAGTTATATGTACCTAAGCTACCTAACCTACATATGTACCAATCAAGATCGCGGGGGTTATTCTGGGGAAAGCTCTAAGAAAAGAATAACTAATAAAAAAAAATCGGAAGTGACGACAACGAAGCGCTACTCCAAATTAAACACGGCGCAAAATGTCGACAGAAAAACCAAGCGCGCTGCGATCTATCATAGCAGGCGCTACAGCCGGCGCAATTGAAATTTCTATTACATACCCGGCCGAGTTTGCCAAGACAAGAACACAACTCAATCGCAAGTTAGCGGCCGGTCAGAAGCTCCCTTGGCCACCCTTTGGCAAGCAGTGGTACGCCGGTTGCACCACTCTGATCATTGGCAACTCTGCCAAAGCTGCTATACGCTTCGTCTCCTTCGAGCAGTATAAGCGCCTCCTCGCCGACGAGAATGGTAAGGTCTCGGGTCCTAGAAACGTCATCGCCGGTTTCGGCGCCGGTGTCACTGAGTCCCTACTCGCCGTCACTCCTACCGAGTCTATTAAGACGACCCTGATAGACGATCGCAAATCGCCTAATCCACGTATGCGCGGTTTCTTACACGCCGTCCCGATCATTGCGAGAGAACGAGGTATTCGCGGCTTCTTCCAGGGCCTAGTACCTACGGCTGCGAGACAGTCGGCGAATAGTGCTGTGCGATTTGGCTCTTATACTAGTCTTAAGCAGCTTGCCGAATCATATACGGCACCTGGTGAGAAGCTCGGGACGGTGGCTACCTTTGGCATAGGGAGTGTGGCAGGCGCCATAACCGTGGCCGTAACTCAGCCTCTCGACACGATTAAGACCAGGATGCAGAGCATCGAGGCGAAGCAGGTCTATGGAAATAGTGTCCGGTGCGCGGCCTTAATCTTCAAGCATGAGGGCGTCTTGACGTTTTGGAGCGGAGCCCTGCCGAGATTGGCGCGGCTAGTCATGAGCGGTGGCATAGTCTTCACCATGTATGAAAAGAGCATAGAGCTGATGCGGACAATGGACCCGGAAAATAAGTACATATAGACGCGGGAGAAAATTTCTTCATTTAGACAGATACCCGGCAACACAGGGATACATGACTTGATGACATCCTTATACTAAATCGGAAAATGGATTGGGGATTAGGGATTGAGGATTGGCTGTTGAATAGTTTCGAGACTGGCAGCTTTGGTATTAGTTGAGGCAGAGATGACAATTCGCTACGGGTTCTTGCCCATAGTTTCGTTATGAGACCATTCATCAGCTATTGTGAGATATTGTCAAATACTCATAGGGGCAGCAGGCAGAGATGCACATAATGCACATAGGCTTCGAAAAGAATAAAAAGGGTCCGAATGACACTATTTGGCCACCCAGCAAGAGTGTACAATGTTCGTGACATTGGGTAGTATTGACTTGTTCGCTCTTCTATATGGTACGTATAATTCTTTGCTGATTTACAAGATCCCCTTGGCATCGTTATTGTATTCTTACAATGCCCTTCACCCGCAACCATAACCTGTCTAAGTAGGATCGAGTCGGTGCTTCCTCAAGCTCCTTTACCAAGTCTGTAAAATATGTCGGCTTACTCCTAGGGCGCAATAGAGAGCCTGTGATGGGGTACTGTGTTTATTTCAGTATTAACTCTCTGTGAGAAGGAGAGGATTGGGGCTACCAGTCATACCATTTTCTTATACCGATTATCGAGAAGTGAGTAGAGCGCATTGGCTTGTCTTAGCTGGTCTTGCTCAGGTAGACCAGAGGAACCTCCTTCAAATCGTTTACGCAGCACGTCCTGGAATTGGATCTGAGGTCGTAGAGTATCTTTGGGCCACTGGGTGAGAGCCCGTAGAACGTGGCGCTGAGCGCTCTATAATGGTGTAAGTAAGATATATGAATAACCGTCAAGTTAACTTGGTAGATATGACGATATGACGATATGACGGCGGATCGTTAACATACAATTGCTTGACGAGACATTATTGTTCGGCGCAATGAGTAGGGTTGCTGATTACATACCCCTCCTAGTAGTTGATATTGCGCATTCGGTTGAGAATGCTTCGCTACACGATGTGATGTCTCTTAGCGCATCGACAACTTTACGTCGTCAAGCCATAGAAATTTGATGATAATCAATGACGGAACGAATCAAAGAGCTTACCGGTGTTATCGATAAGGAACAATAGTAGGTTAGGTATGATGTATGTACAACACTAGTTCAAGATTTCGTATCGATTACCGTAATAAGGGTTAGTCCTAAATGGGAATAGAATAACCTCCGGCCGCAGGCCTCCAATAATAGTTTAATTCTCTAAAATTACCGAATTGATTGTTAGAGTTTAAGTGTGTATATGGCTCGTGCGTCCAGTTGGGTTACCATTTAGACCATTGCGCTTGGGGCTGTCAGACGTTATTGGTCAGCTGGACCCGCGGAACCTTTCTCTTCGGCGCTGTTTGATGTACCTAAAACACCCCTGCGACCGGGTGCCTACGAGTTCATTCACTGTGGGTGAAGTATCTTAGGTTTAGGTAGGTTAGGTACGTAGTCGCATCATCGCCTTCCCTAATCCCGCTGCCGCTTCTGCCCCCGTGTCGCATGTCTCCCTTTTACTACCATCAACTTGTTCATCAAATCAATCACTCATCTCTCCATGTTTCTCTCCTAGTCTTCAATACACTCACTCTCCTTCAAAGACAAGGAATCTACTTCTGTCCTATTTTTCTCTTCTTGTTCACTCCATAATCCTGCGACGCAAATATTTCCTTTATTATCCGGAATCCGCCACTTCTGCTATTCATTCAATTGTTTCATTTGAGTTTCTACCTACACCCTAACGATGTCTGGACGCTACGAACGGGTCAATACCCAAGACGATGAGCCTGACACCCCGATTGCTCCCTCTTCATTACGACCGCAGTCGACACCTAACTCTCCCCCGCCTTCGTTTCATTCGCGGGCCTCATCCGCTGAAAGAAGAAGGCGAAATGTCGATCCTACGCTAGCTGACGCATTCGACGCCGAAGATGACGATAGCGACGACGACGAACCCGACGACAGACAGCGCTTAGTTCGGGGAAACTCATTTCCTATTTCAAACAATGCTACCAGTCAGGCTTCAAATGGAGATACGCGACCATCTAACGGAGGACAAACGGCGCAGTTCTCTTCTAGTGGTACCAATGCTCAGCATGCCGGCTCAAGAGTGTACGGCGGTGGGATACAATCCGATGGCGTCTTCTCCAACATGATGGCTCGGCCGGAGAGGGGAGAGAAGGTCGTGGAAGAAGCACCTCCGGTATGTTTTAGCTGTATTGTACTATCACGCCAGACATCACTAATGATTTCTTAAGACATACGAGCAAGCAGCTGCAGACGCTGCGCCACCGTACTGGGAGACGACAATTCTAGCACCGGGCCTTGGTGGTCCCGATGATGTTTACATCGATGGAATGCCCGTTGGCTCGGTATTTAGTTTCATATGGAATGGAATGATCAGCATGTCGTTTCAAGTGTTTTTTGTTGGCTTTCTCCTCACATATCTATTGCACTCAACACATGCGGCAAAGAATGGCTCCCGTGCTGGGCTCGGTATCACACTCGTTCAGTACGGTTTCTACATGAAAGGATCGTCCTCCGACTCGAGTGGTATGGGCGGCGCGCCTACGGATGGATATGCGCAACCTCCTGATCCTAACAGCCATGACTTTGACCCCAACGCTGTTACGACTAACAACGGCGAGGAAGGCCCGGGTTTTAGTGACATTGCGGGCAGTGAATGGATAGCGTATCTGCTTATGATCGTGGGTTGGTTTATATTGATCCGGTCAGTTAGCGACTACATCAAGGTCAGAAGGCATGAGCAGCTCGTGCTACAAAGCCCAGACAGGGGCTTAGGTATTCCGATTATTGCTCAAGGCGAAAGGCCTGAAACGGTGGTTTAAAATGACATTATCGAAGTCCCTGTTCATCCAAGGTTGATGGTCTATTCTCAGGTCAATACAGCAAACACGATTATTAGACAACTTATATCAGGATTCGGGGTATGGGTTTAGGCGTACGGAGGATTCTCTCCAAACAACGGCGTAATGGGTCCTGGGAATATCATTGTCTTCCTCTGTGAACGACCTAGAACTCCTAGGATTAGTCATGGACCTGGGCTCCAGCAGAGCATTTCGAAGCAATTCCAGTGTAATATATACATATATCATTATCTCTGTAACTACGGGTGAGAATATAAACGGCCCCACGCAAGCACCTGAGTGGGTTTAACTAAGAAGATCCACTAAGACCCAGATCTACTAATTGTACATTTTAGCTTCTCATGGTAAGTTTGTAAGTTGGAGTTTGTATCCTAAAACACTGAAGATATCTTATATATAGTTTATCGATAAGACTATATAAGAGGTATAAGTGCGGGTGTAATGTAAGTGCCCCGCATTGCGTAGGTAGATATCAAATCGAATGAGATATGACGAGATTTGATGTCATTCAATTCCATGGCCACCATTGATTGATCATTTATAGACAAAACGTACATATCGTTCGATACACTTGAACGAACTCTATAAGCTGCTTTAGACTTCTTTGTTTCAACTCATATTCAAAACTATAGGAACAGATCTCCCGCTACTCACGCACCTTACCTCTACCGAAACACACCAAATTAGTCCAAGGCGATTATAATAAATCCAGACTGGCTCCCAACTCATGGTCCTGTGTCTTGACTCTCCTATTCCATCTCCACGAGGCCAAAAACTCGATCCCATCCGGAGAATCAATCAACATGGCCTGGCGCAGCTCCGGCGCCACCAACGCCGAGCTAGTCGAGAACCTCTGGCGCAACAAGCTCATCACGCAGCCCCTCGTCAAATCCGCCTTCCTAAAAGTCGATCGCGCCCACTACGCCCCCGAACACCCCTACGAAGATAGCCCCCAGCCCATCGGCCACCAAGCCACCATCTCCGCTCCCCACATGCACGCCCATGCCGTCGAGACCCTGCTCCCATTCCTGCTGCCCAAAGTTGAGAGCGGTCACCAGTCCACCGATGGTGTGGCGAGCGTTATTGGTCAAGCCGGCCGGCCGAGAAGGGTCCTCGATATTGGTAGCGGAAGCGGATACCTCACACATGTACTCGCGGAACTGGTAGGCAAGACGGGTGTCGTAGTTGGACTGGAACATATCTCCGCGCTGAAAGAACTCGGCGAACGCAACATGGCCAAATCCCCCGAGGGCAGGGCGCTACTAGAATCCGGGCGCGTGCGCTTCCGCGTAGGCGACGGGCGAAAGGGGTGGTCGGAGCCGAGTCCGGGGGATGCGCAGCCAGGTGTCGGGGGCGCCGCGGCGGCTCCAGGCGTAACAAAGGAGCAAGACAAGAAAGACGAGGCGGGCGGCTGGGACGCGATACATGTAGGTGCTGCGGCGACGGTGCTGCACGAGGAGCTAGTGAGACAGCTGCGCAGCCCGGGGCGCATGTTCATACCTGTTAATGCGGATACCAGCTGGGAGCAGTATATCTGGACCGTGGATAAGGACGAGCATGGGGATGTTAAGAAGAAGAAGCTGTATGCGGTTAGGTATGTGCCGCTTACGGATGCGCCGAAGTGAGGGGGGGGTGTATATCTGGTATACTAGTTGGAAGTCTTGGTTTGCCGAGTTTAGTTTATGTGTTGTCGGGAAGAGATGGAAGACTCCTTCACATCACACCCCTCCTATTCTAAGGTATGTCATCACTTCTTCTGGTGCTGGATACTGAGCGAACTTGTCAACCTGTAGGATCCAGAGCGTGTAGTATTGTGGACTAATAAAAGCTGGAGGTTAGTAAAGAAAGTATTCGCAAAGCTGGGCATCTTGGGTGAAGTAGTATACCTGATACCTGATGCCTGCCAGCTATTTAATTCAACATTATCCAATTTAGTTATTTGGACGAATTGCTCATTAGCGAAACCTGCTGTCAGTATGGCAGTAAAAAGAGTCTAGTTACGGCGGTTCCGTTATAAGTGTAGGTATTTACAGATTTTATTATAATAAACTAGGTGCGAAGCAATACTAAGTCCTTACCTAAAACAACCATGTTAGCATCATTGATGTCTAAAATCTGGTCTATAACACCAGACTAGAGCCAGGTATTTTGAACGCCACAAATGGAAACTGTGTATTGCCCCTTAGTTGATATTTACAGCGTTACAATACAACTCCACCAGGTTAGATCCTTGATTAATTCGATTATCTGTAAGGGGAGTCGGCCTTGATGATAGCTGCCAACTCGGGCTCCCATTTATCTCCATTCGCCAGGAGCTTCTCCTTGTTGTATAGCAATTCCTCTCTCGTCTCGGTCGAGTATTCGACATTAGGCGACTCAACGATCGCGTCTACGGGACATGACTCTTGGCAGAAACCGCAATAGATGCATTTGGTCATGTCGATATCGTATCGGGTTGTCCGTCTTGAGCCATCAGCTCGCTCTTCTGCTTCAATTGTGATAGCTTGCGCAGGGCAGATCTATATAGAGTTAGACATTATTATAACGAAGAAGCAGACCCCGAGTCATGATATCCGCCCTGGGACAAAACGTACCGCTTCGCACAGCTTGCAGGCAATACATCGCTCTTCACCTGACGGGTAGCGCCTTAAGGCATGTTCGCCACGGAATCGGGGAGAGACAGGACCCTGCGAGAGTATTAGCCTCTGAATCCCGCCGAATGCTTCCCTCTCCTAAATATTGTCTCCGCAATGTCGCCTCGAGAGTATATCGCGCAGGCTCGCCCAGACAACAAATGTGGGTATTCGATTATTACGAACCTTCTCAAAAGGGTAGTAAATTGTGTATCTAACGGCGTCATGGCACATTAGCGTTATGATCTTTCTCCGGTGATCGATATATGACCAAGACTCACGGTGGCCTGAAGAAGTTCTCTAATGCGACGTACATGCCCCTAAACATCTCAGTCAGGAGGAAGTACTTTCCAGCGCGTTCGAATGTCCCTTCTTCTTGTTCGTTCCATCGCTTCGGCGGGGGGGTTCGGAAACCCTTCACGGGCGGACCAGCGGGCGTGGCGTATGTCCGTTGCGCGACTATTCTAGCCACTGTCGAGGCCGCGATAGGCTGTCGGCGTACGAGCTGACGAGACAGCATAGCTGTTGTCGATGTGGTAAGCCCTTGCATGGCGCAGTGCAATTGGGCGACGAGACCAAAGGCGGAAGGGTTAATTGTCGAAATTAAAATTAAAATGGTCGAGGGCGAAATCTAGTTGAAGCTTTGAGGTCATGCTGGAGTTGTCGGGATTTTAGGTGGAGCTCAAGATTACCATTATTACAAAAGCTTTGCCGTGATTGGTTTATAGCTCAAGCCCGAGTCAGGGAAGCCACATTAGGTCATAGCCACATAATTCCATCATCAAGTGCATTAAGTGCCGCTTAACAGTTGACACACAGCTGCCATTCGGACCTTCCAGTCCGATTGATTATGTACAACTGAGGGGCACTACCTCAGTACAAAGATACCTAAGTACAAAGATAGAAAAGGCTATTGTATTACATTGTACTACATAGATACTAGTCACGTGTAATTCTTTAGTTATTCGAATGGCCGCTAGCTCCGATGGGGTCCAAGCTCGGAGTTGAACTTTGATATGACGAGAAATTTATCGTTGAAAACCTCCGCGCATCGAAGCTCCAGTCCACTACGTATCAGCCTTTCAACGACCACGCTTTCCTCCAGCCCTTCCCCTAGACCACCAATTGACCAATTCTCGATCACCACCATGTTCCGCGCAGCATTAATTCGCACTGCCGCCACGGCGTCCCGCGCCGCCGTCGCTCGACCTATCGCCCGAAAAGCTGTTGTCCCCGCGAGAACTGTTTTCGCCCCGGCGCCCCGGCTTGCTGCCTTCCAGACCGTACGAATGTATTCTGCCGGTAGCGGACTGAAGAAGGAGGAAGTTGAGGGACGTATTCTTAGCATTCTACAAAATTTCGACAAGGTAAGTCAGTCTATAAAACGTCTCGAATTATTGCTACTAGGCTGGAGGAGGGGGATATTGGATGTATGCTGCTAGAACATGGTGTAGAGCAGTTAGTTTGTAGCCTACGTTTGGTGCCTCCGTAGTATGCAACTTGTGGATATGGGAAAATTACGGTATATGAAGAGAATAAAGTTGCTAACTGGATGTTAAATAGGTTAACGACCCGAGCAACGTAAGATCCAACCTCAACGCATCATATATATCTCTCGGCATACTGACCTTCATTAGCTCAAGCCTACTGCGCACTTTGCAAACGATCTTGGTCTGGATAGCCTAGATACAGTGGAGGTTGTTATGGCGATAGAAGAGGTATGCACCAGTTATTTACCCTAGAATATTCGTTTGGCAAGCATCTATATTGTTGATCTTTTTTTTTAACCTGGTATCAAAATCTTGAATATAGTAGCTAACAAGATACAAAGGAATTCAGCATTGAGATTCCCGACAAGGACGCAGACGGTATCCACAGTGGTATGAATTCCCCCATCAGATAATAGTCCAAGTTTTTATTTCGATTAACTGCTAACCCTACTCTCTGTACAGTGAACCAGGCTGTCGAGTACATCTTAAGCCAGCCTGATGCGAACTAAAGCATCCCATCTTGTACATTAACAGCTATGCTACTTCTATAGCAATGACCCGTACTGGCATTTAGACTCGGCAGTAGTGGCTATGTATGCCTGCAGCAAGTCTTGAGGCGATGATAGAGGGACTATAATCGACAAGGCCGATATAGTTGAAATTCGATGAGAAAGGGATATCAACGAAGATGAACATGGCGTGGTTCAAATCGAATACGATTCCCCGCCGTTGTATTAGTGTATAAATCTTTCCTCCCATCCGAGAATCGTGCTTCTTTGTCTTTAATCCAACTACATGTAACTCTGGAGATCATGAATTATGAGCAAACGGCAAGTTTCCAAAACATCAGATACCGTTTACAGATTATGATGAAGTATAGGTATTTGACCGGTTTACTAGGGCTGATGGATACACACCGCTCAGCCAATGGAATGGAGACAAGGGTCCCAAGATGCAGTATCCATCCTTCGATTTTCATAACTACCCAAAACAGAAACGCATTGTGGAAAGACAATCAGTTTCACAGTTTCAGAAATATATTCTTCTTGTTCTCCATGTTATCAGCTACCTCGGAAGTTCATGTCTTTGCTATAGCTTTACTCCTTAGGGCTTGTAGATATAATTCACGGCCTAGTATTTAGCTCTTCAGCCCCATCGGACGTTAACCTAGATCTACTAGGCCCTCGCTTTTGACGAGGTTGGGAACAACCTGGTCACGTAGCGGAATTGCAATGGATGGCTCGACTACGAATGACAGCGGAAATAATAATGTAGGGAATACGGGCATGGACAGTGCCACGCTTGCAGGCGTAGTTGCTACCGTGATCTCTTTCATCGCGTTGATCGTCTCGTCCATTCAGTTGCTATACCAGTACTATACGAATGTCTCGCTCAATGCGCTTGGCGCAAGAAACTGCAATGAAAGAGTCATGGGCCCTTGGGCTAAACTCACTCGCCGCCGGTGGAGATGGCTAGAATTACGATATGAGATCATATTCGAATCTCCTATTCTCTTTGTTGCACCGGCTTGGAACCAGCGAGGGCCCGTTCCAGGCCGCGAGATCTGGTATATGAGCGGGACCGACGAGAGCTTTGCAGAGACTAGGACGCCGATGCCCGTTGACTCGGGCCCGTTTCCTAGGACGACTGCTGTCCGCCACGGCGTCAACGTCGAGGCTACCTGGGTGCTGCTGTTACGAACCTTGCAGTCGATGGAGCGCGAGAGCGGGAAATGGCTGGATATCGTACGGAGTACAGAAGACTGCGAGAAACCTCTCCCTTTCGCCAACCGTACGCTGGCCGTCGCGGCACAGGCACAGACACTATCGTGGGATTTCGTGCCAAACTTCAAGAAGCCATTTGCCAACACAACTATCGGTCATATGGTCGAGATAGCTGCCATGCTTGGTATCCACTGGACCATGTGGGACGCTACGGTAGACCGCTATCGTGCAGAGGGTAACGGGTGCATGTTGCTAGGGTCTTTCAACGCTGAGCAGGGCATCGTGTTCAAGTTCGTCAGACACGATAAAACCGAGTTTCGCGAGTACCGGCTTATTCCCAGCAACATAATAAAGAGATTATGCTTCGGCTTTGCCCCCACATTCTATTTCCTCGACAAGTATGACTTTGTTCCGGAGAAGGGCGAGCGCGAAATAGCCACAGATCCAATTCTACCGCTCCTAAGGCTAGGTAGTCGTCAGGAGATCGTCGAAACCCTTATGGATATCGGATGTCCCATATCTATATCTGAGCATTTCCTCCACCAAGATGCGAGGAGTTCTCACCTTTTTCCTAGTAAGTAACTCACTTCTCTCGTTTCTTTAGTGCTGTTCATCTCGGAAGCGTATGTAACATATAATACCTACGAGCTACAAGCTAATATCGTCCAGTCGTATTTGACATCTTAGGAATGTTGGGCCGGTCGATCTCCATCGAGGGATACTGCTACCGTTTTCTACCCAACCCGACCATATTTCGCTGGGATCGCCGATGGTTCAAGACGAAGCGTTTGCTTCTGGTTTTCAAGGAGCATCTCTCACAGCTAAATAGAGTCTATGCTAAAACAGGAGATACACCGGAGCCCTTACTTGCTATCGCGTCCGCACTCGAGCGTATAATCCCCTACTTAGAAAACCCCAGAGTAAAAGACTACTCACCAACGCTGCTTGATTGCCTGCGCCGCATTATGACGATCATGGACGGGTACTTGATGAACTCCCCGGGGGACTGGGAGTCGCCGTCCGAGACCTTAGTGCTCGACGTAGTCAGCCACCACGTTGCCTCCTTAGTCAAGGATTTCAGACATCGACCGTCGTGGTTCGTGGACCTATTCCCACTACGCCGCGCCGACGACGGCGTCAACGAGCGCACGTATATTACCTTCCTATTCCAGCACAGCCGTCGCGCTGCGACAGAGTCACATAGCGATATAAACGACCTCTACAGCCCTGCCGGAGAGCTGAAGGTCGAGGCGCCACCCGTGACGGATGGGATCACAAAGACGAATAGCTTTCTTGCTCCCTGGAGAAGCGATGCAAGGTTACGCGATGCTACGTGGTGCCTGCTTGTATTCCGTATGCTATGCTGGCTTCAGCTACATGATTTCCATAGAGACGACGTTATGATCCCGCGTAGCGCGACCTACGGGAGTCGCATGCCTGTATATATTGTTTAAGATGGTCGGTTGTGCGGCTTAGATATAAAGTAAAGTAAAGCAAAGCAAATAACGAAATTGTTTCCATACCTGTCAGGCCCACCTCGCGATAGCTTCTTCGATACACTGGCTACGTACTTTAGTCCAGATGCACCAAGTTACAAATGCTTACTATTATAATATTGTCTTTCATTTTCTAGTAATTAAACTTGCCTTGGTGGTTTCTTGATGTTGATTACAAGATATAACATCTACTTTTACCCAAGTATAAACTAACTTTCCCCCTATATGCTATATGATATGTCCTATCCACCCACAACTCTTCCACAAGTCCGTTCGTATATTATTTATGCCTTCTTTAGCAGCTAAACCAATTATGTCTTTATACCTACTCTATCTCCAAATATTCGAAGCTATATTTCTCCTTAGTAATTCCGACCAAGGACATATATCATTCGCGACCTGCATGTCTCAGTCTATATGCGGTCAGCTTCTAGCGCATACCCAGCCCAAGAAGCGATGCTTCTGATTGGATCGTGCGAGCTACCATTTGATCTCCAAACATGCTGCATACTACCCTAGCCTTATGGTCATATATGTCGAGGTATATAACTTGTTTGTAATCTTGGGTCACCAGACTGGCAGATCGCTGGCGAGCCGGGCCGAGCGGATTAGTGAATCCCAGGTTGTCGGGATGCACGACAGTTTTGTGCGACGCCGAGTTCCATTGGGGGAGAGTGCTCAACTATTCGTTGACTTACATGCGCCTCATTACGCGTTGACATACGCACTAGTATTGGAATCTTTGACGTCGCTTGCTTGGTATATGCTTAGCTATTTATTATTCAGATCCGGTTTATACTATTTGCAATGATTGCCTGTTTATATGAAACCACGCGAAGTTCGGTGTAGACCAATCACCTTAATGATGGTGGGTGTGTGTGAATACTCAAGACAGTCTTGTTCTATAGGTTCAAGCGAAATTGAGTACACTCCAAGCAGCGAGAACCATTCTACCAGGGCAACTGGTTAATCTGGCGTAGGACCTTATCGTATTTGGGTTGGGGCTGAGTTAAGTCCCTCCCTAGAAAAGGCATTAAACCCATAGGTAGTCTTGATTGCGGGCATGGCATGGAGTTGCAACAACCCTACAGGTAAGCTTGTGATATAATATGATCAGTCACTTAGAAGAACTCCGTTGGTCGTTATACAGACGAAGTACAGGTGAGGCGTAATACATAGCGAGATTAAAAATCACTGTGACCGAAACGTTGGATACATGACGAATACACATTTTACAAAAGGTCGACTCGAACGAAATATAGATACTAGGTGATCACCTCCAACTCCAAGCCTCTTAGGAGGTAGACAGTTGAACAGTAAACCTCAATAGGTAGTTTCTTTAGTTAGTTATTAGATCTTATAAGTTAATGAAACATTACGTCAACTTAGAGAGGGCGTAAACCGAGGACAATTCACAGCCTCCTTCATTCATATGCCTTGGTAGTCAAGGATATCTGAATATCAGTATCTTGACTACCCCTGAATCACGATCCACTGCATATTATTTGTATAATAATCTTTCGTAGATATTCGTTTATTGCTTCCGAGATGTAGTCGCAAATACGCACGGACTCGGTCTGTACACGAAGAGGCCGCGTCAGAAACCCTCTGCGCATCTGCGCCGAGGCTGCCTATTTGAGTTGCACAGAATTTTTTCATATGAGGAACTGCTACTACTCATGTAGTATTATCTACCTGTACACCCTCATGGTAATTGTGTTTAGATAGGTACCTGATAGCCGGGCGACTCATATTGGCCTATATGTGAGGGCTCCGTGTATGTCACCGGCTGTACCTGCGTATAAGCCATCCCTGGATTCGCAAGCAGAAGGCCTCGGTGGCGGAAGTCGCCCGGATCAAAAGGTGAACGTAGGAGGTGGGTTAGCTGACCAGGATGTCTGATCCTTCAGCCCTATGCTTTGGCATACGGTTAGGAGTCATCTAGCTTGGGGGCTATCTACCCGTCTGCCTATTTGTATTCCTGCTTCTTTGTTTGCATACCGAAAGTCGGACAGGGAACTCGTCAACTCACTCATTGACTTGATAACTTAAAATGGTCGACGAGTTGCCTCACTACCTAGGCTTAACTCATCCTAGACTACAATCGCCCTTCTACCTAGTTTCTACTTGTCTGGTGGTCTACCTTTGTGTAATGTAGACAGCCGAGGCTTTTTGCAAGCGAATGGTTGACGAAGTGAATGAAGCTGATTCGGCTTCTACACACGGACGACTTTATGAACTATCTACCTATTTAATTTAGTGGAGGGAGTAATACACGTCCTTGCATTTACATATCCCCCTTTGTGCTGTTACTATGCACCTATCTACCCTAGAAGCTCTCCACAACGTTCTGGCCAGCCAAGTGATATGTATATAGAAAAGAGTATGTAAAACTGGATGAATGTATGAATGTGGCAGTATTGCCCTGTTCTAATCCAATTGAAAAGTTTTCTTTTTTTTCGTGTATATGACCGCCTATGTCTACCTCCGTGTTTCCATTCCAACCAAATGACTGAATCTCAATTACATGTTAAGCGTAAAATAGCTAGATGTTGCGTGTAATAAATCGGATGAGATGTAGAGAGAGAAAGAGAGAAAGAGAAAGTGAATGCCAATAAACCCAGGATATCTCCAAGAATGTAATAAGTACCGACCCCTGTGCCGCAAGATAAAAACCGGTTCAAAAGGGTTATAAACAAGGGAGAGAAATATAAAAAAGTTCATGTGGTAATGTGATATTTTTTTTTGCCCAACCAACTCCGGCCCTGATTGCATCTCCTATAGATAGTCTTCTTAAGAAACCCGCTATCTCGTCGGGGTGTCAGTTTTGACAACCTGGATGCCGTGAGAAAAAGTTAAACAATGAGTAGCAGGAGTCCGCCGCCTCTATGCCCGCCTGCTAACTATGCAACAGTCTTCCTTTTCATACTTCGCTATCTTCTCCGATATGGACAGGACCTGTCGTAGCGCCCTTGTATATAATGCTCTCCATGCTTTAACCAGCTTCTGGGCGCTTTATGATTCGTGACTTCGTGACTCGGACAATACGTTGTCCTGCTATGTGCATCTCGAATACGCATGCTTTGAAATTCTTTCGTATAAGGACCCAGTATCTTCCTTGGGGCTTTATTGATGCCCCACGCGACGATGCGTTATTATATCCTGGTCGGTCCTCATAGGCCTAGCATCGCTCACCGGCCACCGACCCCTTCGACCACTCTCGCGGCACCATCGTCCTTCTTCCCGGGTCCTGCAGCAACGCCAGCGTAGCTAGAACCCCAAACGCTCATAGCGGTGCCTACACCGGACATTCGCTTCCGTGCCCTTATAGTGCTGTCTCGATCGCCGTCCTCGTCCATGCTGAATACGAATTCGCCGTCCTCTTCCCCTATAGGAGTGGTATACCGGGCGCTAGAACTGATGGAGCCACTGCTGACGTGGCGTTCACCGGCTCGTCCGTTTGATGGTCGCGACGTATGCGAATTGGGATGCAATAGCGGTGATTCGCCTCCGTTCCCGTCGATGCGTGTGCGTTGCAGCTGCTGAGACAAGGCACTTAGGCCCTCGACGCTACTGGACCGGCTCGAATTGTGTGGTCGCACAACGTTGGCACTGAGGCTGGATTGGCGAAGAGGACTTCCGACGTGTCCAAATACACCTGCACTAGCTGCTGCTGCATGTTTCTTCGCCTCGTGTTCCTCGTGCTGTCGTTGGAATAGCGGTCCCCACCGACTTGGACTCGATGCCATTGGACTGCCGAATTTGGAGTTTACCTCGCCATTGGGTGTTCCCGTGCCACTCATCCCAGCTATGCTAGGCGAAGTACCATTTCCCCTGTGGCCGTTGGATTCTTCGTCGGCTGCTCGCGAACCTCGCCGTGCTTTCTCCGCTGGCGTTAACAAGTCTTTCAGATTATCAGGCAGATAATCCTCTTCCAGAAAGGGAAACTCCGACTCCCAATCTCGGTCGATGGCACCGGCGATGGCGCGCGGCGCGCTGCTGCTAAGCATCTTAGGCTTGGCATAGCGGCTCGAATGCATCTGACGTCTGCCAAAGTATTCGTCGGATGGTTGGGTCGGGGGTGAGGAACCGGCTGCAACGGAAGACAAATGATCGTTGCTACCGAACGCCGAGTGGTGTAGGAGCTTAAGGGTTTCCGAAGTTCTCGAATCCTTGGCTGCGTTTAAGGATGGCGAAGGGGAATCAAGTCCAAACTGCGAAGGCATCGAGGATGGCCACGGCGCACCGGGGTATCTGGCGGCATTGGAGATCCCATTCGAATCGAAGGATGCGGGAAGAGGAGCGTCAAGAACGGATAACCCCTTAGCAGCCACGGGCGAAAGACCTAAGCCAAGACGGGTCGGGTCTTCTTCTCGTGGTGAGCCATATTGAGAGCTCGTGTGGGAATATGTAGTGTCGATAGTTGGTACGTTTTCTAAGCTCGGTCGGCGGTCAATGGATTGATAAGTATCGCTCGGGGACATTGGATAGCCGTATGAGTTTCCGTACGATGGATTGGCATCGGCGCGCATAAACGAGTTCGTCAAGGCGCTGTTGGAGGAAGAGTTGAAGCTTGGATTGACTCGACCACCGAGGTGAATGGGCTGGCCTATGGTGATACCATTTTTGCCGTAATTGATTCGTCTACCGTCGGAGAGGACGTGAACATTGGCGCATTTTGGTCCGAACTTGCAATTGCCCTATAGTTTCACCAGATCGTTAGTTGCCTTCTTTTTGTCCTAGTACCTTGCATGTGAGACTCTGTGAGACGACCTATCACTCTTACCTTGGCGAAGTATTTGCACACCGTTTCTGCTGCAGTACCGAGATCGTGACTGAAGGGACAAGCGGAACCAGCCTGACATGCGCCTTGTCGGAAGAATTTACATGGTACGTGCGACGTGTCTGCGATTGGAGAATGCCGAGGTCAGAAAGGAACAACTTAAAAGGTTGGACAG